AACCCTAAACCCTAAACCCTAAACCCTAAACCCTAAACCCTAAACCCAGAAGCCTTTCTTCGGAACAACCGCCAACAAAAAGATGTGGGTGGTTGTCAAAATTAGGTTTACCAAGCCCCATGACCCTTTAACCGCCAAGAGCTCAATCAACCCTAAAAACCCCAAGTTATAACGCTGAACCCCAAAACCCCTAAACCGTAAGTTTGGGCACTTATCCCTAAATTTTGAGCCCTGAGCCCTATATTTTCAGCCTTATACCCAGAATTTCGAACCCTTAAACCCCAAACCCCTAAACCTTCAATTAAAACAAAAAGGCCAGCCTCGCTGGGAGTGTCCGTGCCGGCCAGCGAAGGTCTTTCGGATAGTCGAGGCGAACCTCCAAGTCCGGCTTTCCCTCAACGAAGTACTTGGAGGTTCATGGGACTTAGTACTGTAACTAGGGTTATAAATAGGATAACAAAACTTATCATTACTTATAACCCCACTTAAGGTACTTGTAGCTGTACTTACTAAGTCCCATGAACCTCCAAGTAGTAAACCCCATAAAGTTGGAAACCCGATTAAGGCCAAATATTGCTGGGATTCTTATGCATTACTCTGAATGATTGAGGCAATTGGGTTTCCAACTTTTGGGCTTCTACTGTAGTTTGTTGAAGGATTCCTTTCCGAGCTAAGGCAGGCTAAGGGTACTTTATTTCGGGCTCTATTATTCCCAAAGGCTTCAAGTACACAAAAAGTAGCTGCTGTGAAGTCTGAAGTCTATAAATAGTACCTACTTTGGGCTGTTTGGAGTCTTAAGGATTAGGTTCCCCTAATGGTAGGTATCACAGGGTTCTATGATACTTGGGGGATCATGGGACGTGGGGCCTAGGGTTTGGGATTTTGCGGCGATTTCGCACGGCTGCTCTAACCTGACGAAGGATTTGGGATTCGTGTCGCTTCGGCTTTAGGCTTTCGGGCAACATTTAATATTGGCAGAAATACCGTTCCGAAGATGAAGGCAAGCGGGTTCTCACGGGTGGCAATGATGCTTCGGGCCGGCGATGTGCGATGCAGCGGAACTTTTTCGACCAGGCGGCATCACGGACCAACCTGTCCAGTGCGTGTTAAATGTCAACCACCCACGCTAGACACCACCCTGCCTGCTGGCTCAGCCAACTGCAGAGCTATCAAGGGAGGTCTGATCAGGGTTCTGACTCGAAGTCCAGCGGAAGTCTGACTCCCGATCCCGGCAACTTTAGAAAGCTGTCACCGAGCGTTCTGGGTTCTGCTGGCCAATAGCCTTCTGGGCCAGAAGTGAACAGCTACTTCCCACGGCCCCAGATAGCTTCGCGGCCAACGCGCAAGAGCACTGACGGTTTGGGATCAGGTCTGGGCCTGTGCATGTACTCCAACACTCCAACAAGCCCGAAGTATATAGTAATATAGTACTGATCGAAACCAGACTTTAGACCCCCAAACAAGCATGTGCATCTAGGGGTTCTTGGAGCGAAGCAATGACCTGGAAGGGAAATTCAGAAAAGCTTTACTGTTGAGGTCCGTGTATGCTTCTTTCTCTTGAGGCGCGAGTGTCCCTTAAGCTCTAAACCCTAAACCCCGAAACCCCTAAACCCAAAACCATACGATGCTTTGCCGAAGGCTTTAGGGATCACCAGCGCTCCCTCAACTACCCTCTATTATACCCGAAGTACCCACTATTAAGGACCATAATGGCTCTATTCAAGGGTGCTTCGGGGGGTGCTGGTAGGGTTGAGGGGTTTTGGGCTTGGGGTTTAGGTTCAGGCCTTGGCATATCATGGATGCCGTCGCGGCGTGCGTGTTGAATGAGTCCAAAGAGTAACAGAATAGCTCAGAAATCTTTCAGCCCAAACCTTAACGCCTGTCAGAACCCCCCAAGAGCCCTTTCATAGAGCCTATGTGAGCGCTCCTTAGTAGCGGGTACTTTCCAACATACCAAATTAAAGGGTAGATGTGGGGTGCTGGTACGCAGCCTAAACACTTCTCTAACCTCCGGCGCCAGTTTGATAAACCCCGGTGTCCAGGCTCAAGTACCCAGCCCGTCAGTTTAAAAAGAATGATGAAGCAAGAATGGCTTCTTAGAGCGGCGCTATTGCGCACGCTTGGTTGCCACGAGTGCGCACAAGCACAGCAGGCTCTATACAATTGGAATAGGGTGTTGGGGCGAGTAGATGTTGCGGTTCCAAGCAACCCTAGAAGGAATAATGTTCGTCGTTGTTCCGGCTACTGTATTTCGAAAATGGCTTGGGCCAGGGGCTCTGGCGCTCGCTCGTGCTGCGCGGCCCGGGCTTAAGAAAAGATATCCATCCCAAACCCTCTGGGTTGGGGCACAGGGAACCCAGCGCAGCAGGGTCAAGGCTCGCCAGTGCGAAACGAGCTCTTCAAGGTTTACAGTAAGCTACAGAAAGTTGGAACATCAGTATCCTAGTACTCCTAGTAGACGAAAGTAAAAGGGAATCCAGCACAAATCATCCTAAATCAATGTTCCAACTTTCTGGGATCCACTGTAAGCCTAGCTACAAATCACGAAACCATGGTAACAGGATTGATTCCGGTGCATTCCGGCGTAGCAGAGGTCTGATGACTGACGGCCTTGAATCCCTCCTTTGACAAGGTCCTCTAATCTTCGAAACAATCAGAAATCGGATTCGAAACAATCAGAAACCACCTGGGTTTAGGACGGTCGGATCTTTCCACAGCCGTGCGAGACTACAGGCAGGTAGACGGTTTTTTCTCACTATCCCCTGATTGAGGGTCACACGTTTTCGAGGCTCGGGATATAACCCTGAGGTCTTAGGACCCAAATTCAAGGCTTTTGGGCCCAAATTGCATACTATAGAAGGCTTTTGGGCTAGTTTGAGCCTTAGGGTACTTAGAGGATCATAGGACTTAGTAATTGGGGTATAAGTAATTAACTATAAGTATGGCTACCTTATTTATAACCCTAGTTACTAAGTCCCATGATCCTCCAAGTAGGCTTCCAGATCTGAAGTCTCTCAAGCAGACTTGGATACATGCACAAGACTTTGCGCGGCGCGCTTTGTTTGGCTGAGAGGAGCTGCATTACCGTTTTTTAAGCTCACAATAGCGTCACAAGAGTGATTCGATCCTCATAGGAGATCAAGGTCAGAGAATTCAGAAGTAGGAAACTGGGGGTCGTCTTGCAAGTTAACCTTTCCGGTAGATATGAGTTATCAGGAAGATCATGGGACTTAGTAACTGGGTTATAAATAGGGTAACCGTACTTACCCATACTTAAAACCCCAACTAAGGTGCCTATAACCTTGCCCATAAAACCCTAAACCCTATAGATCCCTTTAAGAAGCCCTACAGATCCCTTTAAGGAGCCCTTTAAGCCACTAAGTCCCGTGGATCCTCCAAGTAAACGGCGAAGGCTTACGTCTCCCGACTGAGGGGACCAGGGATTCCGACTTTTTGGTAGAGCCCCCACAAAGCGTTTAGGGTTTAGGGTTTAGGCACACAAGCAAGAGTTAGGATAGGGACATCCCATATAAACCCCCTTATAATGAAGCCCAACAAGGTAGGTATATCCGTATAAAATGCTTATGTTTATGTGCTTTTGGAGTCCCTTAAATGGGGATTCGGGTTTACCGGCCTCCCCCCCCAACTACCGGAGCCGCGGTTTAGGGTTTAGGGGTTTAGGGTTTAGGGCTTCATATACTACACTGAACCCTATAAACCCCTAAACCATACGAGGCTTTGCCGAAGGCTTTCGGGATCACCAGCATCCCCTCAACTACCCACTATTATGCCCAAAGTACCCACTATATTAAGGACCATAAGGGCTCTATTAAAGGGTGCTTGGGCGGGTGCTGGTTGAGCTTTGAGTTTAGGGGCTTGGGGTTTAAGGTTTTGCAGGCAGGCTCGTACCCTATACCCGAATACCTATATGGTTAGGATCGGCTGTATAGAAAAATAGATACCCCCAAACAGACGCAGGGTATATGCGTACATGTCCGTTGTCTTGACGTTTGCTTACCGTGCACGTAGATTCAGCGTCATTTTTAATTATGGCAGAAGCCCATGCTTCGACCCTGAGCCGTAAAACCTAAGCCGTAAGCAAGCCCTAAGCCCTGAGATCAGCACAGCTTGAAATATAGTTGAAGTTATTTTTATGATTTCACGTATCCCTGGGCATCAAAATAGCCCAAAAGCCTTATATAGTATGGTCTTTGGGCCCAAAAGCCTTAGTATATGAGTCCTTAGATGCCTAGGGTATGTGCCTTAATTAACATGTATTGGGCTGTCTCGGTCTGATTTCACGTTAAAGCAGCAGTTGAGAAGTATGGGGCTTTCCGGCTATCTCTGCGATATGCTGAGTGCTTCGATGCGTCAGGTTGGTTCTGGCAAGAATTTGCTACTAATGATACTTCTAGCAATCAGGATTCAGGGTTTAGGGGTACTGGCAAGAATGAACGTAGTCGTGGCAACGCCAGAAGGACAATCATAGAACAATCGTGATCTCTATGACCATCGCATATTCAATATAAGCCTGACTGAGAGAGGGGGCTGCCACAGCATGTGAACGTACGCATGATTTACTCCCAGCACTGTACATCATTACACATGAAGCGATAAGTAGAGGAGACACTGAGGCACATGACCCTAGGCATCTAAGGACTCATATATTAAGGCTTTTGGGCCCAAAAACAATATTACATAAGGCTTTGGGGCTATTTTGATGCCCAGGGTGAGTAGTAATATCTACAACCCAGATCGTACCTACTCCTTTGCAGGGAAGCCCGACGTGCCCTTCAGAAAGTCACGATCCAGTGCTTGGAAGATCATGAGACTTGGCAAGTACGATTCGGGGATCCCTTTGCGGAACCCTTTCAGGGAACCATCTCAGTTGGTACTTTCCACGATCCCTCGATCCCCACCCCTAGTTCTGGGGATAAAGATATTCATATGTAGAGTTCCCCGATTTATAGCCCTAAGTCCCACGATCCTTCAATCTTACTTCACACCCAAAGCGATTCGACTCCCGCCATTGGCCGCTGCACCTTGCGCTCGCAGTGGGGGGTTCCCTGCAGGGTTTCTATAAGGGTTCCTTTACCAGACCCAAGAGTAACCTAGGAATAAAAAGGGTGCCCTTTTTGGTTTAAAGGGGGTTATACGAGAACCTAAACCCTAAAAAAGGGAATAAGGGCCTACTCTGGGTCCTAGTTTACGGTTCCTAAACGGTTCTTCTGGTCCTGTATTCGTTTCTGAGGGCTTCGCGGCTGCTTTTTCACAAGAAACGAACAGGTTGGGACCTGGCGCCCCCCTGTTCCGAAACAGACGATGCAGATCACATGGGAAGTTCTCCACTCTAAACCCATCCCCCGAGCCAGCTCTGACACAACACCCCAACTCAACCCTTCGCAGGCCTCAAAATCTCAACGAAATTCCACATATTTCTATGTGTGTATGTATATGTATATATATATATATATGTATATATATATATATATATATATATTCATATATATATATATATATATATATAACTACAGTCTAAGACTAAGAACTCCTTAAGGAATCTTTACAGACTGAACCCTCCAATGAAATCCTGTCGAAATTGCGGAACCCTCAAAATGACACTGAATGGAAGCCTAGAAGGAGAGCCTTCAACTCATCCTCTTCATAGGTCGTCTTCTTCTCTTGAGCTGATAGTTTCTGCTCCTCGCGGGTACGGAGGTAAGGTGGAGGGTTTAGGGTTTAATACTGGGTTCGTGCTAAGGTATTTAACTTAAGTTACCATAGTACCGAACTCCCTATTGTTGTGGCTTAAATGAACTTCCTTAACAAGAGCCCAGAACGGGGCTTAGGGAACGAAGAATTAGGATTGGGAAGGTGCTGCTAGGGCTTGCCATGGAAGGGTTAGCAATATAGGGGCCTTAATAATTAACAAAAATAAGGCTTTGGGGTATAACGTACTATAACTATAATAAGGAACCCCGAAAACAGTGTTTGTAATTATTTAGGCCTCCATAGTAGGCGGAAGTCTCTTGCGACAAGGCGGCAAGGTCGTTTCGACTGGCGATGCAAATCATGATGTTGGAAGGTTGTTTTTCCATCTAATGTAGACGCCTTAATAATCAGAATAGGGTTTGGAGCTCCTTTAAAGTATAGATATAATAACGAACCCTAAGGAGTACTATTGGTAATCGCTTAGGCTTCTATAGTATGCCGCGGTCCGTGTGGGTTATGCGTATCTACATAGAGGGCAACTCCTCAACCCTGAATCCTGCTTGGAGGCGCCGGGGACTTCGTAAGTAGGTTACAAGTAGAGTTATAAGTACCCTACATGGACTTACCCCAATTACAGCCCTACTTATACAGGACTTACTGAGTCCCCTGCCCCTCCAAGCACCCTCGCGACAGCAATGGTCCTAAAAACCATACACTCAACCCGGGATCCTTTACGGTTCTTAAACGGTTCTTCTAGGCCTGTATTCTTTTCTGAGGTCTTCGCGGCTGCTTTTCACAATATACGAACAGGTTGGGACATGGCGCCCATGTTCCGAAACGGACGATGCGAATCCCATGGGAAGTTCTCCACTCTAAACCCATTCCCCGAGCCAGCTCTGACACAACACCCCAACTCAATCCTTCGCAGGCCTCAAAATCTCAACGAAATTCCACATATTTCTATGTGTGTATGTATATGTATATATATATATATGTATATATATATATATATATATATATATTCATATATATATATATATATATATAACTACAGTCTAAGACTAAGAACTCCTTAAGGAATTTTTACAGACTGAACCCTCCAATGAAATCCTGTCGAAATTGCGGAAGCCTCAAAATGACACTGAATGGAAGCCTAGAAGGAGAGCCTTCAACTCATCCTCTTCATAGGTCGTCTTCTTCTCTTGAGCTGATAGTTTCTGCTCCTCGCGGGTACGGAGGTAAGGTGGATGGTTTAGGGTTTAATACTGGGTTCGTGCTAAGGTATTTAACTTAAGTTACCATAGTACCGAACTCCCTATTGTTGTGACTTAAATGAACTTCCTTAACAAGAGCCCAGAACGGGGCTTAGGGAACGAAGAATTAGGATTGGGAAGGTGCTGCTAGGGCTTGCCATGGAAGGGTTAGCAATATAGGGGCCTTAATAACAAAAATAAGGCTTTGGGGTATAACGTACTATAACTATAATAAGGAACCCCGAAAACACTGTTTGTAATTAAATAGGCCTCCATAGTAGGCAAAAAGTATCTTACAACAAGGCGTAGGGAGTGATATTGGTAATCATTTAGGCTTCTATAGTATGCCACCAACCACGGTCGACGAGTTTAAAGTGCCATGTCGCACCATGCATCTGCCTGAAAAAGTGTGGGTTGTGCGAATCTACATACAGGGCAACTCCTCAACCCTGAATCCTACTTGGAGGGACTGGGGACTTAGTAAGTAAGAGAGTTATAAGTACCCTACATGGAGTTACCCCAATTATAACACGACATATAAACGACTTACTAAGTCCCCTGCCCCTCCAAGTACCCTCGCATGACCGCAATGGTCCTAAAAACCATACACCCAACCCATCAACCCCTGAGCGCCAAGATCTAATAATGCCAGAAAAACCTCTACTAAGAGCCCTATCAAACGTACTTGTCAGGTATAATGGGGAACTAAAGGTTAACCTTTTCGGTTATATCGGCATTATATAGGGGCTATACTACCCAAGAAAGGTTAAAGGTTACCTACTCTACAAAACACTAGGCGAACTGTGAAAGTGCTACCGAAAAACACCAGAATGCTCCTTGCCGTTGGAGTTTTCCGACTCGTAGCACTGCAGCTTCTCCACCAACCAGCTCTGGCTTCTCTTGTTCTTCGGGGCGATGTCTGGCCACCTCCGGTTTTAGAGCTTAGGAATAAAAGGACCCAAAGGCTCCATGAAGCTGTATAGTAGATACTGAAGACCTAAAGGGGTCCCTATATCCTCCGGTTCCCCAGAACCCCGGAAAGATCCAAAAGGAGATCCCCTAAGTTGGAACCCCCTTGAAGGGTAAGGGTTTAGGGTTTAGGGTCTAGGGTTTAAGGTCTAGGGTTTAGGGGGTACTTCATGGAGTCTCCTTCAAAGATCTTTTGGTTGGATCCTCTCAGTGGTCTGGCTCAGGGCTTGGGATTTCAAGATCCAGCCGAGAAGCAGGGCTTGAAGTTGAGAGCTGTCGAAGTGGAGTTTAGGACTAAGGGTTTACGGTTTCAGGGTGAAGGGGCTGGTCTTGACAACTACCCAGAGGCCCCAAACTAGTTCCTTTTAGGGATCACCCCATAGGATTCTATATACGAACCCCAAACAGGAACTACTTTGGGGCCTTTGGGTAGTCAGAACTGAAAGCTTTCGGGCAAGGGTTGTTTGCAAACTATGGAAGCAAGCTTGAAGTTCAATCTATATGCTGGGCATGCACAACGCTTGAAGCGACAAACCCTACCCTAAAGGTCCAAAGCACCCAATGATCAGGTACTCGGGTTTGGGATAATAGCTCTGTAAGTTACTAGTTTGGAGAGTATATGATAATGAGGTACTTGGACCCTCAGGGCTACAATGAACCCCCCCCACATCCAAAGCAGGGCTTCCGTTCGTCATCGGAACCGGGGTTCAGTTAGGCAGCGGAAAGCATCAGAGAAAAGTAACGCAGCATATTTGGGACCCAAAACCACATACCTGTGTTGAGAGAGATCGGACATCAAACCCTAAACCCTAAACCCTAAACCCCTAAACCCTAAACCGATCAACCCTGAGCCCAAGCCCTGAAGCCTAAACCCTTTTATTGCTGAGTCCCCGGAATACCTGCGACGGTGGTCCGCACCGATCTTGAGCATGGACAGCGTGAAGCTTCCTTTGGAGATCCTTTGAACGGTTCAGGGTTTGCAGGCTTTACTTGGAGGTTCATGGAACTTAGTAACTAGGGTTATAAATAAGGTAACTATACTTATAATTACTTATAACCCCAGTTAAGGTACTTATAACTGTACTTATTAAGTCCCATGAACCTCCAAGTAGCATTCAGGGTTTAGGCCTCAGGGTGAAGCTTGCAATGGAGATCTTGAGCAATTACGATGACGAAGTTTCAAGAGAAGGCTTTCGGATTTGCGATCTCAACTAGATGCTTCATGTTTCAGGACCGTAGGGAATTACGTGATACCCTTCATCAGAGTCTGTGAAACAACAAGTAGACTGGGTTGTGCTAGGGCTTGGGGATCAGGCTGTTGGTCCGTAAATCGTTGCGGATAAAGCCTCTGCCAGCATCAGCGTGGACACTATATCACCACCATAGTCAACATGGCACGCACGCACTGCGCCTTGCTGCGGACAAGGCCTAAGGGATTGGGATTTGTGCCTAAAACTCTAAACCCACAATCGACCCTACACCCTGAGCCCTGGACTGCGTGTAGGGAAATTGAAATTAGAGCCATGAGGCCAAGTCCCTACGGTGTAGGGTTTAGGGTTTACCCATAGGCTCCATAGTAGTCCCTTGTTGGGATTACCCAGAGGCCCCAAAGTAGTTCCTTTTTGGGATTAGCCTTTCGGACTCTATATACGAACCCCAAAAAGAAACTACTTTGGGGCCTTTGGGATTACCTTATAGGAGTCTAAAATATGAACCCCCAAGAACAAGCACTATGGAGCCTCTGGGCATAGGCCTAAATCAGACCCAGGATACCCCCTGGCGCAGCCTCGTCAAGCCTGCTCAAGGCCTGAACCCCTCACCCAGCCCCCGCCCCCACTTAAAGGATCATGGGACTTAGTAACTGGGGTTATAAATAAGGTAACTATACTTATAATTACTTATAACCCCAGTTAAGGTACTTATAACTGTACTTACTAAGTCCCATGAACCTCCCCCCCCCACCCTAAACAACCCTAAACCTCAATACGTAGACCTACACCTCAGCCGGTTTAGGGGTTAGGGTTTAGGGTTACACCCCAAACCCCCCAACCCGCTAAAATCATGCACTAGTTGTCACATTCCTTGGAACTCCAAACTGCACTGTTTTTGGATTATACTTAAAGTTCTGTACTACACATAAGGCTTTTGGGCTTGACGACCCTGGCGTCTGCAGCGTCGCCTCTGGCAGTACAGACATAAGGATCAAACCCCATGCCACAAGTTACAGGATACTCTCTGGACGCCAAAACCTTAAACCCTAAACCCCTAAACCCTAAACCATTAAACCCCTAAGCCCCTAAACCCTAAACCCTAAACCCCTAAACCCCAAACCCCTAAACCCCTAAACCCCTAAACCCCAAACCCCAAACCCCTCACCCCCAGCCCTACAGTTTGGCCAATAAAGCCACACCGTTTCAAGACATGGATCATGTTTAAGACGGCGAAGCCAACGGCGTTGCTTTTCGCATCGCCGAAGAGGCCAAGACCTTCAGGGCTTCGGTACAGGGTTGTATAAGGCTTTGAACGAGTTTTGAAAGGGGTTTAGGATGGGGTGTGAGGACTTAGGGTGTAGGAATTGTCCTGCGCACCCTTTAGACTTAGACGGACGATATACACTGTTCTAAACTCATCTCCGCTGTAAAGGTAACCTATCTAACGGCTGCTGGGTAGAGCATCTTGTATTCTTCAAGGTTGAGGGCTTCAGAGTTGTGGGGTTTAAGGGTTTGGGATTCAGGGTCCAAAGGTTGTCCTTGCCAGGCTGCCCCTAAAGCCCAGACTTGCAACTACAGCCATGATACTAAGACTCCCCAAACCCTAAACCCAACCCCTAAACCCTAAACCCAAAGCAATCAAGACAAGCCGAAGGCTTGTTCATGCCGATTTGGGTACTGCCCCCAATTGTGAATGTTATGAAACTGCTATTGGAGTGGAGGCAGTCTCCACATGACGATTGTATTGCGTATCTTCACCACATACAAATCTTCAAAAAAGCACACACACACACAATACGTAAACATCCAAAGGCTGAACTTAGAGACTTGCAGCTTGCACTGGCAACCATAGTTCTTTGTTCTTTGCAAGATGCTCGTTTTTGCAGCTCCGGTTGAGGGACATGTAATGACTTTGCACCCTCAATGGTTGGAGTTTGGGTTTCGGGGTGTAGGGCTGCTGCAGGGCTGAAACCTTGTACCGTACATCATACTCCCCGGGCGGAAGTCATACCCTAGACCTACGGACCTAGTATGAGGGCTGAGCCATACCCGTCAAGTCTGAAAACTCCGTGCGAGCCGAGTCCAAGACCTTGCCACCCCCATGCTCCCTTCACGACCGAACAGCAGAGGGCTCGGTTTAAGGTTTAGGGTCTAGGGCCAGGGTTCAGCTAGCTTCAGCTGTTCCGCCCTGAAACCTGAGAACCCTAACAGTTTAACAGCATTGAGCAACTGGAGATCCCCAAAACCCTCAACCGATGCCTTCGGCAGAAACCATCCACCAGCATGGGAATGCTGGCCAAGTAAACCTGAGTAAGGTGTAGGGCCCTAAACCCTAAACCCTAAACCCTAAACCCCTAAATCCCTAGGGCTGTAGGGTTTACAGCTACGGTCTAGGGTTTTGGGGCTTGGGGAGTTGTGGCTTAGAGTTTTAGGGTTTGGGCTTGAGCTCTGCAGGCGAGCAGTTCTTCACCGGCGATCCGTATTAAAGGATACCGGCATTGAAGGTCCACTACAAGGGCCTCAATAACTAGAACAGGGCTTTTTAGGGGGAAAGCTATATGCCTTGTTGCCAGGCATGTCGGTATCATTACGGTTTGGGGCTTCAGGCTTAAGGCTCGTGGTGAAGGGCTTGAGGCTCAGGGTTTAGATCGTACTGGTTAGGATCACGGCTTGAGGCTTCATAGTCTCCTTGCTGTTCCCTAAACATTCCATGTACTCCGATCATATATTAGAAACTTGCGCCCTCAAGCACCCAATATGGACTACAGCAAGGCCAATACATGTACGTACTTTTGTACGTATGTATGTAATAACTAAGTATATTGTGTTGTGCACATGGACCTGTAGGCCTTGGGAATTACTGCTGTGACTCTATCCCACTGCTACCCACTGACTCGAAGAATTGCTTCGACTGGTTCTGCGTTTAGGGCTTAAGATTTCGGGTGTTTAGTCAAGCAGGGAGGTGCTGCAAACAATCCGAAACTGATTTGGGGGAACCCGTCCTCCCTCATGTAGAGATCTACCATGAACTTCCCACTTATGTAGGGGCCTTTGCAATTAGAATGGGATATTGTACTACAAATAGCCACCCTACATATGTCTGACAAATAGCGCATTTATAAACCCTATAAGCCCTAAACCCTAAACTTTAACCCCCAAGCAGTAAACCCTTACACCTAAACCGTAACACACCCTAAAACCTTAAATCCCTGAGCCCTAAACCGTGCAACCGCTAAACTAAACCATAAATCGCAAACTCCAAAACCCTTAAACCAGATCCCGAAACTTACCTTTGGTTAGTAGGGAATGGAAAATTGGTAGCAATAGTAGTTATAGCTATACCCCATTCCTCCATTCCCTACTAACCAAAGGTAAGTAAACCAAATCCCTAAACTCTAAACCCTAACCCCTAAACCCTAAACCCTAAATTACTAAAACCTAAACCCTAAATCCTAAACCTAAATCCGACAAGTAGGCTGGGCAGTTGCTTGGAAGTTCATGGGACTCAGTAAGTACTTAAAGGGCTCCTTAAAGGGATCTATAGGGCTCCTTCAAGGGATCTATAGGGTTCAGGGTTTAGGGTCTACTTGGAGGTTCAGGGGGCTTAGTAAGTACAGTTATAAGTACCTTCACTGGGGTTCTCACCAATTAGAAGTTTTGCTACCTTGTTTATAACCAGAGTTACTAAGTCCCATGAACCTCCAAGTGCAGGTTCACCATCCTTTCAGGTTTCCTTTAGGGGTCCAAAAGCAGTTCTTTCAAGCATGCCACAACGACTATGTCCTAGAGCTCCACTGACTTACCCTCTCGGTTAAACCCTGGAAAAGTGTCGCCTGGCTCTGCGATAGCAGAGCCGGGGGGGGGTGGGGGTTGTGGCTCATGGATATGCTTGAAAGCCAACTACTCAAAACCATTACCCGCATTACCAAAAACCCTAAACTAACCAAAGGTAAGTCCCATGATCCTCCAAGTAGACCCTAGACCCTAAACCCCTATAGATCCCTTATAGAACCCTTTAAAAGGAGCCCCTTAAATTAAGCCGCCAACAGATTCTGCATCCTGTGATCCGATTGCGAAAAGCTGCAAGCTTTGAGCAGACCGGAACCATGCAAATGCAGAATGTCCTACTTGGAGGGGCCGGGGACTTAGTAAGTAGGTTATAAGTAGAGTTTTAAGTACCCTAAATGGAGTTACCCTAATTATAACCCTACTTTTAAACGACTTACTAAGTCCCCTGCCCCTCCAAGTAGGGCATCTGCTGCGACCCGTCTGTTCTCAACGCCCTACCGCCTACATCTAAAGCGTACTAGGCAAAGAACTTAGATCTATCATCCGGACAACAAGGCCTTACAAATCGGAATCGGTAGGGAATCGGGCGACAATATAGCGTTTTTTTGTTTTGTTGGGGGGGGGGGGTAACTCGGGGTACTTATAACTCAGCCCTCTGCCCTCCAAATAGCAGAAACTACCAATACTGATTCGTGTGCCCCGTCGTATCACTGCTCCTGTGGCCTCGACGGACAATTTATTGGAATAGAGCTCCAAGCTACACACATACATATGAATATACACATATGCATATACATACATACATACATACATCCATCCATCCATGCATGCATGCATACATACATACATACATACATACACACACATACATACATACATACATACATACATACATACATACATACACACATACACACATACATACATACATAAATACCTACCTACCTACCTACATACTTACATACATACATATATTCCTTTTCCATACACAGAGGTACATTTATGTATGAATATGTATATATACATATGTATATATACATATGCTTTTCATATCGTATGTTCATTTTGTGAGTAGCCGTATGGACAGGTAGAAAAAGGCCTCTTTATTTTCCAGACACCTCTGGGTACTGCAATGCAGTCTCGCCAATCGCCAAGTGGCCAGACGCTGCACATCAAGCGAAGGTAGTGGTATGGGAGATCGCGATTGGCACGACACCCTCCTGTTGCAGAAGCCCGAAAAACTGAACGCCTAAAACCCTAAACCGCTAAACCCTATACCCCGAACCCTAAACCCCTAAACCCTAAACCGCTAAACCCCTTAACCCCAAGCCCTTATAAACCCTAAACCCCTAAATCCTTAACCCCTAGACCCTAAACCCCTAACCCTAAACCCTCATGGACTTCGAGATCACAAACCTGGGGCCATCAGACTCAAAAGGCCATTAACGAGAAGCCCTTGGGATTGGCCAGGGTTTCAGGTCTTGGGTTTAGGGTTTAGGGACTTGGGATTGGCGACGGTTTAAGGTCTGCGGTTGGGAGTTTGGGATCTAAGTGCTCCAAGACACAACTTCAACGAATTCAGAACGCGGATGCGAAATGACGGCTACCAACTCAGGCCTTAAATGCTGAAAACCAGAAACCCTCTTTGTGTCTCTCCTAACCGCGTAACCCTGAACCCCAACCCCTAAACGCTCCTGCGCAGAAGTAGCACAACGCCAGGAAGGGCATCTGCACACAGCACAGGAAGCAGAGACACGATGCCGTGATGCCAATGGCGATGCCCTTGTTCGTGACCACCAAGTCTGCCACCTCTTTGCTAGCGTGCTGTGTTTAGGTTTGAGGGTTCATGGTTTATGAAGGAAGGTTTAAGACTTAGGGTTTACAATAGAAGCCAGAAAGTTGGAACATCAAAAACGTCATGCCCTTAAGACAAAAACTGCCACCTCGGCTCATATAGCGTGTTGGGTTTAGACTTGAGGGTTCAGGGTTGGGGTTTGGGGTTCCGATTTTGCGGCTTGGGGTTTAGGCTTAGGGCTCATGTTGAAAAAATGAGATTATGCGCGTAGCGCAACCCTTATAAAAACCTTACAGGAACCCTATTCCAGGCTCATGTATTACTTAATCCTCACCCCCTGAACCGTAAACCCTAAACCCCTCAACCCTAAACGCCTGAAGCCCTAAACTCAAAGCTCCCAAACCCCAAAACCCCAACCCGCCCTGAACCCCGAAACCCCGAACCTTATAGAACCTGTTAAGGAACTGCTACAGAACCTTTAAAGGAATCAAAATAGAACCTTTGCAAGGAACCCCTATAGAACCTTTCAATTAAACCCCTGTAGAACCTTTTAGAAGAACCCCTATAGAACCTTCTACACGGACCCCTGTAGAACATGTTAGCGGAACCCCCTATCGAACCTTTTAAAGACACCCCTGTAGAAGCTTTAAAAGGAACCCCTAAACCCAAACCATTTTTATCGGACACTAAACCCAAAACGTCCCTAAACTCACCCTAAACCTTAAACCCTAAACCCCAAATCCTAAAGAGCCCTAGATTCGACCCACCTAACCTCCCCCAAACCCCTAAACCGCAAACCTTATAGAACGTTTTAAAGGAAATAGAACCCATTTTTTCTGAAAACCCAAAGCCCAAACTTTATAAACCCCTATTATATACCCAAACCGTTTTGGTAGGACCCTAAATGCTAAACATCCCTGAACTCTAAACTCTAAGCCTTAAACCCTAAATCCCATAGATCCCTTTAAAGGAACCCATATAGATTCTTAGATTCCCTTTAAAAGGAGGCCTAAACCCTAAACCTTGAATCCTCCATCCGCGGCCTCCCAGGACGACTTGAAGAGCTCCCACGAGGTATCTTCAAACAGGAAGCCTTGAGGGGGGCTATACGGGGGGGGGGGCTCCTTTTAAAGGGAATCTAAGAATCTAGATGGGTTCCTTTAAAGGGATCTATGGGATTTAGGGTTTGAGGGTTTAGGGTTTAGGGGTCAGCGGGGTTCGGGGGGCTTCTTTTAAAAGGAACCTACGAATCTAGATGGGTTCCTTTAATGGGATCTATTCCAACTGCCTGAAAAAGGCCAACAATGTAACCTTCATGGAATGCAAAGTGTACTGCAGCTCCTGGCCAAAGGGGATGTACCCCCACATGCAAAGCAACTTGCGAAGTCGGGACAAACATTCAGCCTAGGTCAGGGGCCGAATGCAGTCGTTATCCGTCATGAAAAAGATGTAATCTGGCACATCAGCCTGGCTTGAGTGCAACTCCATGAGCTGTTCCAGGGCACCGACCCAATGCAGGATCCAAGACTGCTGCCGAGGAAGGCGCAGTAGACCCGAACTCATGCAACCAAAAGGCATGAACTTCCGAGCCTTGGTCCTGTAGGCCACGCCACGAATGCTGTCAAAATCGATGTAAATGTCAGACAGCCAAATATGCTGTGAATCTGAGAAACGAAGACTGTTCCAAATATGGGATTTAGGGTTTGAGGGTTTAGGGTTTGGGGGTCAGCGGGGTTAGGGGGAACTTCTTTTAAAGGGAACCCAAGAATCTAGATGGGTTCCTTTAAAGGGATCTATGGGATTTAGGGTTTGAGGGTTTAGGGTTTAGGGGTCAGAGGGGCTGCAGGGGGGGCTTCTTTTAAAGGGAATCTAAGAATCTATATGAGTTGCTTTAAAGGGATCTATGGGGTTTAGGGTTTAAGGGTTTAGGGGTCAGTGGGGTTAAGTCTTTTTAAAGGAATCTATAAGGGTTCAGAAGGACTGTTGGAATTTGGGGTTCAAGGGTTAGGGTTTAGGGGTTTTGAGCGGCTTCTTTCTTCTAAGGGTTTAGGGTTTAGGGATCTAGAAGGGTTTCTTTTCTTTTACCGTATGGCACGCACTCTTCTTTTAAGGGATCTATGCGGGTATGAGGTTGAAGAGTTTAGGAAGGGGTTTGCGATTTAGGGTTTCCGGTGTTTAGGATTTATATAGGGGTTCGCAAATCGCCAACACCATGGCTAACGTCGTCGCCGGCATGATGGCCACCATGAGAAACACCACCAACATCATGATGCTTACAAGCTTCGTTTCGCAAGATTTACAAGGCACAGGGCTTAGCTTAGGTCTTGCAGGTCAAAGGCCAGAGGATATGAGGTTTAGGTGTTTGGGGCTTTGGGGTTTACGGATTAGGGTTTCGGGCTTCAGGGTTTAGGGTGGGGCGCATCTGCGGCGGGTTTGTGCACGGTTGTGCGCTTCCTGAAGCAGCCAAGAAGCCATCGTGCAAGGAACCGATCCAGCCGCAGATGAGGAACGCATGGGTGAAGATGACCTCGGGCTCACTTCACTATTTGGTTCGGCGGGCTTTTATTCAAGATGTTCCTGTATGGCTCATATGAGCTTGTAGAGCTTTAAGTGAAGGTGCCTGGTTTTCTGAGACGGCATGATTTTGACAAGATTCACTTTGTAACGAAAGAGGGGTTCCCCAAAACCCCACAAGTACAGAACCACTTGCCACACCATCTCCCGATAAGACCACAAGCCCTAATTAAACTCCCAAGCGCGAGCCATACCTTTTCAATCCCCTTCAAGCCCTCTTCTGAGCAACTCTGGCGCAACTATGACCTATTGTAGCTTGTACTTCAACCATACCATGTCACAACCACGACCATTAGGCCCAAAAGTATATACGATACCATTGCTTGGACATACAGTACCTGCTTCAGGGTCGAAAGTGTATTATAGTATCCTTAAGGGAGGGGGCTCCAAGGGGGGCACATAGCCTAGTGATCCCTAACTCTCCCTAGTACTCCCGAAGGTTCCCCTAAGGATTCCTTGTACCCTCCCCCCTTGAACCACCCTCCCTTAAGGATCCTATAATATATCATAGAGCCCTTATGGTATCCCTAAAAGATGCCCTGTGAAGGAACCTTTCAAAGGAACCCTCGATCCCTTTAAAGGAACCCTAGGAAGCCCTATAGATCCCTTTAAAGGAACCCTAGGAAGCCCTATAGATCCCTTTAAAGGAACCCTAGGAAGCCCTGTAGATCCCTTTAGGCGTACCTACTTTGGGGCTCTTTGGAGCCCCAGGCTGAGGGTCCAAAAAACCTCAAAGTCCCGAATTCCTAAAAAAAAAAAAAAAGGGGCCGTAATAGTTGGAATAGGGCTCCTTTAAAGGGGTCTAAAAGGGCTACTATTCGGGTGATTATAAGGGCTTAGTATAGGGGCCGTGATAATTGGAGTATGGTTTTGGGGCCCATTGCTATAAGTAGAATAAGGAACCCCCAGAATAGTGTTGGTAATTGTTTAGGCCCCTATACTAGATCGTGCCAGTCCAAGCAGCCACGGAGACAACGTTGAACTTGTAGCAAGGGACATAAGGTGCGATCAGAACCACCAACTCCGCCTGCATCAGCGAGCAGGTGAAGGCATAGCCGAGGTATCGGAGACCGTTCACGTTGCCAATGTGCAGCCAGCGGAACACGGAGAAGAATGCGGCCAGCGCCTGCGCAATGCACATGGCGATGTTCAGGTTTCGGCAGTATGCGATCCTGTCCGAACAGGGCTTGCTCGGCATGTCTGGCCACGTCTTCATCAACGTCCACCACTGGTCCGCGGCTGGGGAGATGTAGTCACGGATCATAAGCCACACTGCATTTATCGGCTGCTTGACATCGGTCCTCACGACAATGCGGAGGGCGAGGTAGGTGAAGAACAGCCCGAGAATGATGCTGGTAAGGCTCCTCAACGATCATAAAAAAACAACTGTAATCATTATAATGTGTATATATATATAACTACAGATATATGTATATGTGTCTACATTGCTATAGTAGTTACTGCTCTAGATCATTGTAGTAACTATGGGAACTATAGTCATATACTGCTATAGACTTATACCTATGATGCTGGTAAGGCTCTCGATCGCGAAGGCTGGGTAGAGCGGGCCACACGCACGGAAGAGCTCAAAGTCGTTCAGATCCTCCATCCAAGCACCAAAAGTAAATATCCTGTGTTGTACGATCGTATACTTTCATACACTGTACCATATCATAATATACCGTTGTTCAATATTATGAAAAATACTGTAATATGCGATAACATACAAGAACATACTTGCATATACTATCTTACTATACAGCCGTAAACATGAATGTACAACTTATAGCCTTCGACACTAGCCCCTGAGCACATGAACCCGACACAAGAAGTCCTCCAGCACCATGACTGAGATGTGTACTGCCCTGGAGCGTTGTGAGCTGCTGGATCGAAGATGATAAAAATCTTTGGCACGTTTGAGCCGATGGCGCATGCAGGAAGCCAGCTTTGATTTCAAGTCTGCCAGGGCTTCTCCTAAGGAAGTTTTTCTTGAAGGGGTTTGAGGGGTATATGGGTAGTTATCTAAACTAGTGGGTCCCTTTCTGGCTCCCCAAAATAGTACGGCACCCTTATTAAAAGGATCATAACAAAGACCCTAATTTTGAGAACTACCCATATGGGGGTTTCCGAAAGAAGGGGATCCTGATATAGGACCCTAAATAGTAGGATCCTTCTGATCAGGACCCCAAAACACGGTATCCCTATTTTCGGAAACCCTAAACCCTTATAGAGCCCTTTGAAGGAAGCCTTATAGTATCCTTACAGTAACCCTTTTACAGGAACCCTAAGGTACGTCTAATTTTCGGAAGCTCCCATAATGGTTACGCCAAGGCGGCCCCCACCTCTCCCGGGAGAGGTTTGGTTTAGGCCTTCTTCCAATGGCTGTGCATGTGATCATCCACCCCCCTCCCCCTGTGGAATGTCTGGGGGCGTTCTCCCTCTATCCCTCGCTCTCTCTCTCTCGCTCTCTCTCTCTCTCTCTCTCCCTCTCGCTCTCTCTCTCTCTCTCTCTCTCTCTCTCTCTCTCTCTCTCTCTCTCTCTCTCTCTCTCTCTCTCTCTCTCTCTCTCTCTCTCTCTCTCTCTCTCTCTCTCTCTCTCTCTCTCTCTATCTCTCTCGCTCTCTCTCTCTCTCTCTCTCTCTCTCTCCTCTCTTCTCTCTCTCGCTCTCTCTCTCTCTCCTCTCCTCTCTCTCTCTCTATCTCTCTCTCTCTATCGCTCTCTCTCTCTCTCTCTCTCGCTCTCTCTCTCTCTCTCTCTCTCTCTCTCTCTTCTCTCTCTCTCTCTCTCTCTCCTCTCTCTCTTCTCGCTCTCTCTCTCTCTCATCTCCTCTCTCTCTCTCTCTCTCTCTCTCTCTCGTCTCTCTCTCTCTCTCTCTTCTCTCTCTCTCTCTCTCTCTCGCTCTCTCTCTCTCTCTCTCTCTCTCTCTCTCTCTCTCTCTCTCTCTCTCTCTCTCTCTCTCCTCTCTCTCTCTCTCTCTCTCTCTCTCTCTCTCTCTCTCTCTCTCTCTCTCTCTCTCTCTCTCTCTCTCTCTCTCTCTCTCTCTGTCTCCCTGGGACTCAGTAACTAGGGTTATAAATAGGGTAAACATACTCGTCATTACTTATCACCCCAGTTAAGGTACCTATAACCTTACTTACTAAGTCCCATGATGCCCTAAGTCTCTGTCTCTCTCTTTCTCTACACAGGCTACCCTTAAAGGCACCCTTAAGGGCTCTCTTAAGGGGATCCTACTCTAGAGCCCTATAGTACCCTTGAAAGGGACCTTACTGTGCATTGGCAGGAGGGGCGCAGAATGCACAGCGCACAACCTTTCCCAAGTCCGCTGCGTTTTTGCTTCGTACAATTGGTGTGGTTGAGGGTTGCGCTGAAACGAAGTAGCATTAAGCAGGGTCTCTAGGGTGGCGATGATCTTTTGGGCCGGCAAAGCGCCATGCAATGGCTTTTTCCAGCAGGCGGCGATCACGACCCAACCTGTCGAGTGCATGGATGTCCCCCACAGCCAACCGCAGGGCTCTCAAAGGAAGTCCACACAGGGTTCTGATTCGAAGTCCAGCGGAAGTCTGACTCCCGATCCCGGCAACTTTAGAAAGCTGTCACCGAGTGTTCTGCCGGCCGATGGCTTTCTGGGCCAGAAGTGAACAGCAACCTCACAAGGTCCCAGAATGCTTCGCAGCCAACGAGCAAGTAAGAGCATTGACGGTCTGAGAAATTATCCTGGGCTCATTAAACCCCACCTTAACCCGGAATAACTTACCATTTTGAAGCTCCTTATTATGATTTCTATCATATACCTTAACCCCACGTAACCTACCTTTTTGAGGACTTATATAAAGAAATCATATTAGGGAACCCTAAAAAGGTAGGTTCCTTAGGGTCCAGGTAAGTCCTTAAAAGCGGTAGGTTCTTCAGGGATAAGGTAAACCCCAGACCATGCCATTGCACTCCAAACCCAAAGCACTATTGTCCCTAAGTCTCCATGTACCCGTATGGTATACCTGGACCCTAAGGAACCTACCTTTTCAAGGGTACCCCAATATGATTTCTTTATATAAGTCCTTAAAAAAGTAGGTTACGTGGGGTTAAGGTATACTTAGGCCTTCAAGTGCCTACATAGGGACCCCTTTAAGGCTTAAGTACCTACCATAAAGCTACATAGCCTTGAACCCTAAACCCTAAACCCTTATGATACCCTTTATAGAACCCTTAAAGGAACCCTGTTATGGGTACATGGAGCCTTTGTGTGTGTGTTTGCAAGCTTGGGACTGCTTTGGTATTTGGGACTCGTGGGGCCAACCAAAACTTACGGTTGATGATATAAATCCTGCATGACCCATAATAAGGAATGTACCATAATTCCCATAGTTTAGAGTCCTTAAGGTAATGCAGGATTTATATCATCAACCGTATCACCCCAATAAGCCACAGAGATAAAAGGTTAAACTTTCCGACTCCTAAACTAAACTAACTCTAAGAACCCAAAAAGTTTTGGGGGGATCTAAGTAAAAGTTAGGGTATGATGTTCAAAAAGGAGTGGTATCGCAGTAGGCTATAATAAGAATCCACAAAGTTTACAGGTTAGGTATTGGGGGTCGAAGAAAAGGCCCGCGGGTTTGCGAAGGTTGGGGTTTAGGGTTTAGGGTTTTAGGGGTTTGGGGCTTAGGGTTTTAGGCGTTTGGGGTTTAAGGGTTTAGGGTTTTAAGGGTTTGGGGTTTAGGGTTTTAGGGGTTTAGGGTCGAGGGGTTTAGGGTTTTAAGGGTTTGGGGTTTAGGGTTTGGGGTTTAGGGGTTTAGGGTTTTAAGGGTTTGGGGTTTAGGGTTTTAGGGGTTTGGGTTTGGGGGTTTAGGGTTTTAAGGGTTTGGGGTTTAGGGTTTTAGGGGTTTAAGGGTTTGGGGTTTAGGGTTTCAAGGGTTTGGGGTTTAGGGCTTTAGGGGTTTAGGGTTGAGGGGTTTAGGGTTTTAAGGGTTTGGGGTTTAGGGGTTTAGGATTTTAAGGGTTTGGGGTTTAGGGATTTAGGGGTTTGGGTTTGGGGGTTTAGGGTTTTAAGGGTTTGGGGTTTAGGGTTTTAGGGGTTTAAGGGTTTAGGAGTTTAGGGTTTTAAGGGTTGAGGGGTTTAGGGGAAAGGTTGAGGCTTAAGTGGTATGGCTTAGCCCATGGAGGTCACATAGACTTCACTTTTGAAGTGCACACCGAATCCCATACAAACTTTCGGTTGCAGACGTTTAGCATGTGCTCCCCTCGTTTAAAGAGCCCTAGAGTACATGCTGGCCGAGCTCTCGTCAAGTTTCGGCTTTAGGGCTAGAGATTGTCGAGGGTTTAGGGTTGACAAGGTCCCAAGAGATCATCTCAACATATTATGTCAGCGTATGAACGACACCGTGCTTGAGATCCGAGGATCCCTGTAAAAAGGGATCCCCGAAAAGCTTTGCTCATGAGATCCTTGTGTTTGCCTCGGGGCTTTGGGGCGTTCGCGTCTGGGATGTACATATGGGCCTTTTTTGCTGAAAGTTTCGTGGGTTTGGCACTGGGCCAGGGCGATTATGCAATCGCTGCTAGATGAAGCCCTATGGGTCCAGGTACCCAGTCCGTCAAGTCACTAAACATTCAAGTCTTCTTAGAGCGGCGCAGTTGCACACGCTTGGATGCCACAGGTGCGCAGGAGCACAGCAGACAATAGTGGGAGCTCCCACCAGAGCTTCTCTCAGCACATCCCGAACTTAACTAGGTGTCGATCTCAACAGTCCCAAAGATTATTTGTAATTAGGGCTCTAATAAACAATAAGGGGAAATTAAAAGATATCTCGAATCGCTACCCAGTTAGTATAGGGCCTGGAAAATTTGAAAAGGGCTAGGCTATACTAGTATACAGCATATTTATAGTTAGGAAATTGCTAGAGGCTCTGGCGCCCGCTCGTGCTGCGCGGCCTGGGCTTAAGAAAAGATATTATCCGTCCCCAGCCCTTTGGGCTGGATCCCAGGAAACCCACCGCAGCAGGGTCAAGGCTTGCCAGTGCGAAACGAGCTCTTCAAGGCTTAAGCCTAGCTACCCATAGGCCCCAAAGTAGTTCCTTTCTGGGGTTCATATATAGAATTCTATTAGGTAATCCCGAAAAGGAACTACTTGATCTCTTCACACGCATCTATACTATACACCTCTATGCACCACTATGAAGGTTGTTTCCAGTGTATCAGAGGTCTGACGGTGGCCTTGAATCCCTGCTTGGACGAGGCTCCTCTAATCTTGGAAACAGTCAGAAGTCGGCTTGGAAACAATCGTAAACCGTCTGGGTTTAGAGCCGTCGGGTCTTCCTACAGCCGTCCGAGACTGCAAGAGAATTTGCGAAAAATGCTAGGGTAGTTGACAAAAGGTCCACGAACGGAAGCAAGTGCGGTTTAAGGGCTTTTCAATATCTCTCCTGACGGGGAGTCCAATAGCGAGCGTTCCTACTATGATGACAGGAATCTTCATGAAATAGGGGTTCGGGAGGACAGCAGCAGAAGCAACCGTGGCACCGACAACAGAAACAACAGCCCAACCAACAGCACTATAGATGCAACAACTGCAATAGCAACATCAACACCGACAACGGCCAACATCGACAACGGTCGTAACCGTTGCCTTTGACTCATGAAACAACTGCTTCAGTTGCGATACTCGACTACATGCTTCACTACTGCTTAACGATCTGCGCAAGTACCTGCGCAGCTAAGTAGTTTATTCCATCACCTACGTGATTGAGCTGGTCACCAGGAAACGTGCAAGAACAGCTTTTGGGGTGCAGGGTTTAGGGTTTAGGATACTTTTGGCAACAATTGTGTTCAATGTTTAAGTTTAGGGTTCAGGGTCACCAGCAAAATGAACACCGTCATGGCAGAGACACTGCGTGCGCACAGGAACAGACTCAAATGCGGGAAAGAGAGAAGGTAGAGTTGCTTGACACGAACCTAACTGATGATCTCTACAGTAATGCAATACGAAAGCCCTAAACCCCTATAAACCCTAAGCCCCTATAAACCCTAAGCCCCTATAAACCCTAAACCCCTAAAGCCCTAAACCCTAAAAAACCCTAAACCCCTAAAGCCCTAAACCCTAAAACCCCTAAACCCCTAAAGCCCTAAAAACCCCTAAAGCCCTAAAGCCAACCCATCAATTCCGAGCCCTCGGCTCCTTCAACAACCAGACCCCGATATAGCCAGCTCAGGGTCCAGTAACCTAAGCTTTAGGGCTTTAGGGTTTAGGGTTTCGGGTTTAGGGTTTAGGGCTTTAGGGTTTAGGATACCCAGTAACCTAAGAATAAAAAGGCCTCTCTTTTTGGTATTGGGTAACTTTATAAGGAACCTAGGACTACAAAAATTATAAGGAACCTAGGACTACAAAAATTATAAGGAACCTAGGACTACAAAAATTATAAGGAACCTAGGACTACAAAAAAGGAATAAGGGTACTACTGGGCATCCTAGGGTCTCTGAAGTCCAAACCGGTGGATCCAAAAGCCTACCGTTCTAGGCTGGCCCTTTAAAGCCCCTGAAAAATGTTCGTAAATAGGGTCCTATTAAGCCCAATAAGGGAAAATACAAAATGTCCCAAAGGCCTACCTACCGTTTTCAGGGTCAGACCCTCCAGTTAAGGGGGGTCACAACCTACTATTGTGTAGGGTTTGGGGATACAGGAAGAGATGGCATACTTTGAAGCTGCAGGGACACCCGACGCGCCCTTTAAAATGTCGCGATCCAGCGCTTGAAAGATCACGAGGCCTATAGTACTTGTATGTATAGTGATAGGCCTATAGTACTTGTATGTAAAGTGATATAGTTACCATAGTTGGCGCTACATGTAACCGTTTAAGCTTGCTTCACACCCAGAGCGTCTCTGCTCCCGCTGCAGGCCGTTGCACCTTTCGGAATTCGATCGGTCAAACTTCAAATCCTAAACCCCAAACCCTAAACCCGAAACCCTAAACCCCAAACTAAGCCCTAAAACCGTTTGACACGTGCTCTGGGTTTCTTTCGACTATCTAGGGATCATAGTGTCGGTCTCGAGTAGAGACCTATGAAGGAGCCCATGTCCTCTGCTCCGATATTCTCTACATGGGAGTTTCCGAAAATTAGGGTACCTTATTTTGGGGTCCTTATATTAAGGATCCTACTAAATGGGGTACTATATTCGGGCCCCCTTATTTTCGGAACCCCCCACATGAGTAGCACTTTTAGAGGATGGGTTTGAGGGTTTACGATTTAGCCTAGGGCCCTCAGGACTCACATATTCAGGATTTTGCCCAAAGGCCATAATATTTGAGGCCCTTGGGCTATTTTGAGCCCCAGGATTAGGAGTTGTTGGAGTTTCAGGGTTTACGACTTCGAAGGGTGTGTAATAGAGGGGCCTTAATAATCAGAGCAGGGTTTGGGGGGCGTGATACTGTACTTATAATAAGGAAGCACCCAACATAGTATTGGTAACTTTTAGGCCCATATACTACTTGGAAGGGCAGGGGACTTAGTAAGTAGGTTATAAGTAGGAGTTATAAGTACCCTAAAAGGAGTTACCCCACTTATGACCCGACTTATAAACGACTTACTAAGTCCCCTGCCCCTCCAAGTAGACCCTAAACCCTAAACCCCATAGACAGATCCCCTTAAGGAACCCTATAGATCCCTTTAAGGAACCCTATGACGTCCTAAGTCCCAAGTAGGGTCATTTCTTCGGGCCAGGGGCTGCTTTGTGTCTTGTACGCATGCCGTACTAGGAGATACGGAGATGAGGCGTCCCTGGTTTGGGGTTTAGGGTTTGGGGTTTAGGGTTTAGGGTTTGGGGTTTCGGGTTTAGGGTACTTCTTTGGGTTTACGGTTTAGGGTGCTTTTTTGGCCCCAAGTATATTCTGGATGTTTGGTACTGCCCCTATACAGTAACAGTTGGGCTCGTACTAAGGGCCTTTTATCTATACTCAAGCATGATCCAGCTGCTACTGTGTGGTGGGGGCAGTATCCAAACTATATGAGCACGCCGACCAGCACTGTAGGGCAGTATCGCAAAGGCTCCATGCACCCTTATAGTAGATGCTTAAGCCTTAAAGGGTCCCCATAAAGGTACTCTAAGGCCTAAGTATGTACTATATGGGTACATGGAGCCTTAGGGTATATGGAGATGAGGCGACCGCGCGAATGTCGCGACACGGACGATGCAAAATGGCTCGAACATGAAAACTTCTCTGATACCCTAGAGGTGGAGGACCCTAGCCCAGAAAAAGGTTAACCATTTCATGATGGTCGGATTCTATAAACGCCGAAAGGTTGAAGGTCACCTACTCAGCTACTAACCCTAAGGGTCCGGGTACCCAAATGGTATACACTTCGCCCCCCAAGTTATTGGATAGGGATTACTTTGAGGCCAACATATATACCATATGAGTATATGGACCCTTCGGCCCTAAACTCCAAACCCCTATACCCCTAAACCCTAAACCCCCTAAACCTAAACCCTAAACCCCAATGCCCCTAAACCTAAACCTAACCCCCTACACCCCTAAACCCTACAACCCTCAACCCCCCAAACCCGAAACTGGACTCGGATTCGAGACGGTGCTGGCTCCGGCACAAAACTCAACTCAACCCCTCGCAGGCCTCAAAACCTCGATCAAGTTCATAGTAACTCAAGGGTCCAAAGGACCCAATATTTAGGTATTCGGTTTTAGGATAGTAGTTATGTAGGTTAAGATTTTGGAGAGTGTATGATTATTAGGTACTTGCACCCTTGGGGCGAACTCTGATACCCAAAGGGTTCATACATATGTCTATATATATATATATATATGTATACACTACTGTACTAGTATGGTATTGGAATTAGGTCCCCCCAAAACCATTATTAGGATGGTCTGTTGGGGCCTAATTCCATATGGGCTCCTTGGGTAGTAAACCGCACAAGAAACAGTTCAAACTAAACTCTTCGAACAACTCTGTTGAAACCCTATGGAACCCGTCAGATACATAAAACCTTCAAGAAACCCCGTAGATGACAGCACCCTCACAAGTACCGTTAAGGGCTCCTTTAAAGGATCCTTTAAGGATTCCTTTGAGGGATCCTTTAATCAAAGGGGAAAAGGAGGGACCCTTAACAAGGACCCCTAGACATATACCCTTAATATAGCTAGTATACACCCATTAAATAGCCCATGATAGGGTAGGGGTCCCCATTAAGGGTCCCTCCTTTTCCCCTTTGATTTAAGGGATCCTCTAAGGGTTCCTTTATGGGATCCTTTACGGGAGCCCAGGAGGAGGACCTTCGCGTCATCCTCCTCGGTCGCCTTGTTCTCTTGCAATGAGAGCTTCTGCTCCTCGGGTGTGCGTTGGTAAGGGTTTGGGGGTTTAGGGTTTAAGGTCCTAAGGCTTGGGGTTTAGGGTTTAGGGGAGGGCTCTGTTTAGGGTTTCGGGCTTCGTGACGGATCTCGTGAGGGAAGATATCTTGCGAGGTCGTCGAGTGGCGATCAGCTGCCAAACCCTGACGTGAAATGCTTATGCCTTCCTTCTTTCCCAGCCCATGCCTTCCACGGCGGCTACAAACAAGCCACAACCACCGAAACCTGTTCTCTTTGGGGTTTAAGCAGTTTCGATTAAGCCTACGCCTAAGCTCTTGAGGCCAGTACTGGTCCTGGAGAGGACCTGTTTCCGGTCAGTCTCAGCCACGAAATATTAAATCCTACCCTCATCCCAATAAGCGTAAACCCACGTAGCCCGCGACAAGACCGCAATAATCCCAACCTTATCAAACTATCAAACCCAGAGACTCCAAATATCGAACATACTTTAAATCATATTACGGAGCTTATTGGAGTCTCTGGGAAGTGCTATGAAGCCCAGAGACTCCAATATCGAATAATTATACTTGAAATCATATTAGGGATCCTATCGAAGTGCTATTTGTACGTTAAATCATATTAGGGTTCCTATTGGAGTCTCTGGGAAGTGCTATGAAACCCGGCAGCGCTCCTTGCCAATGGGTTTTTCCGATTAGTAGACCTGATGGGGAACCAAAGGTTGACCCTTGGGATTATATAGAGAAGCTAGTACTCCAAGAAGCTTTAAGCTTACCTACTCTACTACTACGAACATGAAACCCTTATCCCTGAACCGCTCCTTTCCATTGGGTTTTTCCGATTCGTAGACCTGGAGCTTCTCAACCAACCAGCTCTGGCTTCTCTTCGTCGCCGGCACGATGTCTGGCCACCTCCGGTTTAGAGTTTAGGAATAAAAGGACCCCGGGTAGATTCCTAAAGGCTACTATACAGGAAGCCCTTTCAGACACTTTGTTTGTTGGATCCTCCCAGAGTTTGGATCAGGATTTGGGATTTCAAGTTCCAGCCAAAGTTCAGGAGGTCTCGAAGCAGAGATCTAGCTCAGGTCTAGGTTTTAAGGTGTAGGGCCTATTAGGGCCTTAGCCAAAGTTCTATGCTTTCCGGGCTAGGGAGCTTCAAGATCAACCTGCTTGGAGTCTGCACATCAACAACCTCAAACTTTTCACGTGGCACACTCTCCAACCCCACGCCTACCAAGCAGGGATTTAGGCACCGGACATCATTCACAGAATCTTGGAGTATCAGTAGAAGGCGACAATGTTTGTGACCTGGACCAATACCACTCGATCACTTGGACGCTCCTGACAATCCCGAGCGAAATCGCACGTCAACACTTGACCCTCGCCGGCCCCGAGCCCTTACAGCTTTTGTGCTAAGTCCTCGGAAACCCTAGAGTCTGAATCCTAACCTTAGTTAGGGGTCCTTATAATAAGGGTCCTACTATTTAGGGTACTATATTAGGGTCCCCTATTTTGGGGAAACCCCTACATGACGTTAAGTCCCCGGTAGACCTGCGACGGTGGTCGGCACCGATCTTGAGCATGGACAACGTGAAGCTGCCCTTGGAGATCCTTTGAACGGTTTAGGGCGTGGGTTACTTGCAGGGGCAGGGGACTTAGTAAGTCGTTTATAAGTAGGGTTATGATTGGGGTAACTCCATTTGGGGTACTTGAAATATAACTCTACTTATTACACAGGAGCTCTACAGAAAACTCCATTCTCAGCGTCCCTACTTGGAAGGGCAGGGGACTTAGTAAGTAGGGTATCAGGTTTCTATGGATGGTTTTCGGATTTGGGATCTCGACTTACGGCCTCGAGTTCGAAGATTTTAGCAAATTTGTGACGTAAACTCGAAACTGTACGACAAGAATCAATTCCAATGGGTTGTTTTAGGCCGGAAAACCCAAACCTACATAGCCCTACACGCTAAACACCAAAACCTGCTTAACTCAGGGGTTTCAGGGTCTTGGGCTTTAGAGTATAGGGTGCAGGGCTTTAGGGTCTAGGTTTCCTTAACCCTACCCAGAGGCCCAAAGTAATTCCTCTTTTTGATTACCCTAAAGGATTCTATATACGAAACCCAAAAAGGAACTTCTTTGGGGCCTTTGGGTAGACCCTAAACCGAACCCTCATTGCCAGACCCCGAGCCCTACTTAAAGGATCATGGGACTTAGTTACTCGGGTTATACGATAGGTTTCTCTGATAGGGTTCCCTTTAAGGGTCTAGGGTTTAGGGACTCCTTAAAGGATCAAGGCTAGTGACGAGGGTTATACATAAGGTAACCATGCTTATAATTACGTATATCCCCAAGTAATTACGGTAATGTCGTTTCCAGATTAAGATACCCCCCCAGATTAGACGGGCCGTCCCGGGCATGTCATGGGCTTAATGAAGAAGTCCATTAGACCCCACCGTAATAGTACCGGAGCTCGCCTAAACCCCCCCCCCGATTAGACGGGGCCATCCCCGAAAATCCCCGAAGTAAGGATTTAGGGGATTTAGAGGCTTATGACTTAACCCTAAACCCCAAACCCTGAACCCTAAACCGTAAAGAACTCATGATGGCAGACTTTTCCTCATTTGACCAGCAGGCCCTTGGCTTTGACCTAGAAAGCCCGAAGCTTTGAGATGGAAGGGTCAGAGATCCCTGGCCTTGGGATCCCTGGGATTTCGGTGATATCTTCTGCTGCCAGAAACAGGTGGTTCCCTAATTAAACCGTATATAAAAAGAGTAGGTTTGTCAAGTTTTCCAAGGCTACCCCTTTGCAGGCCCCGACCCCCCCCCGAATAGCAGGAAACCCCCCCCGATTAACAGGGTCCGGCCCGGGACCAGGGATTTGCAGGCCCTTGGCTTTGACCTAGAAAGCCCGAAGCTTTGAGATGGAAGGGTCAGAGATCCCTGGCCTTGGGATCCCTGGGATTTGGGTGATATCTTCTGCTGCCAGAAACAGGTGGTTCCCTAATTAAACCGTATATAAAAAGAATAGGTTTGTCAAGTTTTCCAAGGCTACCCCTTTGCAGGCCCCGCCCCCCCCAGAATAGCAGGAAACCCCCCCCGATTAACAGGGTCCGGCCCGGGACCAGGGATTTGCAGGCCCTTGGCTTTGACCTAGAAAGCCCGAAGCTTTGAGATGGAAGGGTCAGAGATCCCTGGCCTTGGGATCCCTGGGATTTCGGTGATATCTTCTGCTGCCAGAAACAGGTGGTTCCCTAATTAAACCGTATATAAAAAGAGTAGGTTTGTCAAGTTTTCCAAGGCTACCCCTTTGCAGGCCCCGCCCCCCCCAGAATAGCAGGAAACCCCCCCCGATTAACAGGGTCCGGCCCGGGACCAGGGATTTGCAGGCCCTTGGCTTTGACCTAGAAAGCCCGAAGCTTTGAGATGGAAGGGTCAGAGATCCCTGGCCTGGGGATCCCTGGGATTTCGGTGATATCTTCTGCTGCCAGAAACAGGTGGTTCCCTAATTAAACCGTATATAAAAAGAGTAGGTTTGTCAAGTTTTCCAAGGCTACCCCTTTGCAGGCCCCGACCCCCCCCGAATAGCAGGAAACCCCCCCCGATTAACAGGGTCCGGCCCGGGACCAGGGATTTGCAGGCCCTTGGCTTTGACCTAGAAAGCCCGAAGCTTTGAGATGGAAGGGTCAAAGATCCCTGGCCTGAGGATCTACTATTATACTACTATAATACTACTATACTACTGTACTACTACTGTACTACTGTACTACTGTACTACTACTATACTACTGTAATACTACTATACTACTGTACTACTACTATACTACTGTACTACTACTATACTACTGTACTCCTATTGTACGACTGCAATACTTTACTAAGTACTCTCTATCTACTTACTACTATACTTAATAATTAACCCCATCCCCACATAATCGGGGGGGGGGGCCGGGAAAAACTTGAACCCATGAACAAATTCAAGCGGGCTAACCTTGACAGCGGGGGGAGGGGGGGGGGGGGGTTTGTTAATCTGGATCCAACATTACTCATAACCTTACTTGCTAAGTCCCATGATCCTCTAAGTACAGCTTCTCCCGAAACCCCGATCCCCCCCCGTTGAGGCGTGGATCATGTTTAAGACGGCGAAGCCCACGGCGTTGCTCTTCGCATCGCCGAAGAGACCAAGACCTGCAGGGATTCCTTAAACAGTTTCAGAAGGGTGGAAGCTTAGGGGTTTAGGGGGTTTAGGGTACAGGGGGTTTAGGGTTTAGAGGTTTAGGGGGATTAGGGACAGTTTCAGAAGGGTTTAGAAAGGGAGGTGAAAAGAGTTGTATAAGAGTCCTTGTAAGGCTGTGAGAGGGTTGTCAATGTCAAACGGGTTACAGTAAGACGAAAGGGTTCGCATACGGGACATGTTCCTTCTTTAAGAGGGTCGTCTAGAGTCAAGGGGCTGTAATAAAGTCTTCACATATCTGGGAATTTTTTGGATGATAAGTATGACGTGGGGCCGCTTCTTTGTCCCGACTTTCCGTAACATAACAGCCCAAGACATAGACTCACCGTTAGCATTCCAAAGGAACCTATATCTACACTCCCAGTACCTGTGCAGTAGCCCGTGTAAAGGCCACAAGCCTTCAACCTCAGCCCCCTAAACCCTAAACCCCTATGTGGATGCCTGAAGGCCAAGTTACCGAAAGTCATAAGACATATTATAAGCCTGTAAAGCGTAAACTCTAAACCCTCCACCTAGACATGAAATCCTTCGGCTTCCAGTGGTAACCATAGTTCTGCGCTAAATGCCCATTGCTGAAGCCCTGTTTCTGGGCATGTAATGACTCTACACACTGAATAGTTCGGGTTTGGGGTTTGGGGTCTAGCGTTGTCTAAAGGCTCAAACCCTACACGGTGCATGTGCTACTAAACTGGCGGATGTCCCATCCCCGCCCCGTTTTATGAGAGCTGAAATGAGCCTTACCCGAAAATGATTTGCTACAGTGTGACGACTCATGTCAGCCCTATCTATAAACCTACACGCCGCGAATTCGGTGCCCTGGCGCTGTGCTCCTTTGAGGTTCGAATTCAGAACATGCTTCAGGTGTTCGGCCCGGAAATCATGCCCAACAAAAGCCCCCTTCACCCTGGACCGATACCTTCAGCAGACACCATCCACCAGCATGGGAATGCCGGCCAAGTGAACCTGAGTCGGCTTTGAGGACTTACCTAGACCACTCGTCGTTATGCTTCCAAAAATTGCAAGCCCTGCCTATACTCTTAATAACCTAGCTTTGCCTTGTTGCACTTGACAGAGGTGGTTTTTTAGTCTCCAAGTCAGCATGCCGGAGACATGTAAATGCAGAATCTGCTTGGGTATGCAATCTTCTGTTCTCAACACCCAATCTAAGCCGTAAGCCCTAAACCCCCGAGGCCCCAAACCCGTATGAACGGGCCTTGATCATGAAAAGAAAGCTCTTGGGTACGTTCAGGCGATAATAGTGCACCTCAACCCTAAACCCTGTTAGAATGCCAGTGTGTAGGAGTCTAAACCTTAGGGCACCGCATGTACACCGAAGAAACTTGCATGCGTGCGCATCTGCAGTAGCATAGGACCTACGTACCTGTGAAAGCTGTAAAATGAACTAACTAAGTCAGGACGACTTTGAATCCCATGCATCTGCTGAGGCAAAACGCCTATCCAACATGCTCATAAACAGCGGTCTTGATGACTAGGGTAGGTTTTTGATATATACATATATACATATATACATATATACATATATATATACACACACATTTCAGTGTAGTCTTGCTCGGTACTGCAAGGGCCTACGGCCTACTCTTTACAGGGGCGGCTGAGGTTGGCGCAACACAGCTTCGCCAAGTGGCCAGACGCTGCACATCAAGCGAAGGTAGTGGTATGGGAGGTCGCGATTTGCACGGCACCCTCCTTGTGCAGAAACCCCAATTACCCATCTCTAAACCTGAAGCCTGATCTCAAAAAACGCCCTACAAGGTACCCCCAAATCCTACCTCAGCCAACCCTAAACTCCTAAACCCTAAGCTCCTAAACCCTAAACTCCTAAACCCCAAATCCTAAATCCTAAACTCCTAAACCCTAACCCCCTAAACCATCGCGAGACCTCAGGTCAGAAATTGAGACCTCAGGTCGCAAAAAGAAACCGTGACAACCCCCCCCCCCCCGGAATCTGAGAAATCAAGCCCCTTGAAAGATTATATAAGGGTCTGGGGTTTAAGGGATTTAGGTTTTAGGATTGCTAGGGCCCCTTGGGGGATTCAAGGTTGGGATTTGTAGGGCTGGAGGGTTTTATGCAAAATGTTGTAGGATTTAGGGGTCCGAAACGGGCAGGCTCATCGAATACAGAAACCCCGGCTACAGATTTCGGGTCTTACACTCTTACGCGATGGAAACCAGGAACTCTGCTTGTGTCCGAACCTAAACCCTAACTAAACGCTCCTGCGCAGAAGTAGCACAAGGCCAGGAAGGGCATCTGCACGAAGCACAGGAAGCAGAGGCAAGACGCCGTGATGCCAATAGTGATGCCCTTGTTCGTGATCACCAAGTCTGCAACCTCTTTGCTAGCGTGTTGTCTTTAGGTTTGAGGGTTCATGGTTCACGAAAGAAGGTTTAAGACTTGGGGTTTGATGTTCTGACTTCTCTGTGCTTATGGGTTAAGAGTTTAGGGTCTGGCTCGGGGTTGAAGGCTTTGAGCCGGTTTAAGTGTAGCTTAGCGGTTTCAAGGGTAGAAGGGTGACATAGAAAGCTGCGGAGGCCCAGCTGTGGTAAGATGTGGAAGTTCCCGATTATTAAGGGTGCCTTAGTTTGGGCGTCCTTGAAATAAGGATCCTACAATCCTGGGTGCTATTTTAGGGTCCCCTGTTTTCGGAAACTCCCATGTCTCACAAAGGCCTCAGACCATAGCCCCCTGCAAATCATCACTTCCGATCCTGCAAGACCCCAACAGACTTACACTAATTACACAATCCACGCCCGCACCCTTTTCACCCTTCAACTTCTGTTGACCTAAACTCTTAAACCAGAACCTAAAGTGTGCAAACTCCGTAAACTCCGAAACCAATCTCAAACCCTCTAGTGGAGCCTCATGAGAAGAGCGCATGAAGCCCAACTGAAAACCTGACCAACCCCTAAGAAAACTCTGTAGCAATCCGTTCCCGTAGAACCCAAACCCGAAACCCTAAAGCGCAACCCTAAACCCTAAACAAAATGACCAAGCCCTAGTTCTTGGTTCTTCTCGAAGCTCAGTAAACCCCGAGACCCAAAGCCGGGGGCCTCAACAATCAGACCAGGGTATGGTAAGAGATCTAAAACAGTTCGAGGAGCCCTCCCCTACCACAAATGATTCCGACCCCAATAGTATAGTATATTCAAAGTAAACCCTCAACCCTAAACCCTTAAACCCTAAACCCTAAACGTCAAACTAAATCTGTGTGAAGAAACCCTGGAGGAAAATCAAGCTTGGTCTTCTACTCAGTATTCCGACACCAACCCTAAGGCTCCATGTACCTTCATAGTAGATACTTAAGCCTTCAAGGGGTCTCCATATAGGTACTTTAAGGCCTAAATATGTACTATATGGGTACATGGAGCCTTAGGGCAATAACCCAATAGTCCAGAATATGGTTTATGAAGGACGAGTTAGTTCGAACTCTATGTTCTAGCAAGGTCATTCAACATCTACTAATTCCTAGTTGCAGCGACTCAGAAAATGGGTTCCCTGTACGTTTATTACTACTACTACCACTACTACTACTACTACTACTACTACTACTACTACTACTACTACTACTACTGCTACTATTACTACTACTACTACTACTACTACTGCTACTACTACTACTACTACTACTAGTACTACTAGTACTACTAGTACTACTAGTACTACCAGTACTACTAGTACTACTAGTACTACTAGTACTACTAGTACTACTAGCACTACTAGCACTACTAGCACTACTAGCGCTACTAGCACTACTAGCACTACTAGCACTACTAGCACTACTAGCACTACTAGCACTACTAGCACTACTAGCACTACTAGCACTACTAGCACTACTAGCACTACTAGCACTACTAGCACTACTACTACTACTACTACTACTACTACTACTACTAGCACTACTACTAGCACTACTACTACTACTACTACTACTACTACTACTACTACTACTACTACTACTACTACTACTAGCACTACTACTAGCACTACTACTAGCACTACTACTACTACTACTACTACTACTACTACTACTACTACTGCTGATACTGCTACTACTGCTACTACTGCTACTACTACTACTACCACTGCTACTACTACTACTACTACTACTACTATTACTACTACTACTACTACTACTACTACTACTACTACTACGACTACTACTACTACTACTACTACTGCTACTACTACTACTACTGCTACTACTACTACTACTACTACTACTACTACTACTTCTACTTACTACTACTACTACTACTGTAGAGGCACTGCTTCTCAAAGCTAGAAGGTTTGATACACACGGGGCCAAAAGCCGTACCCACGATGGCGGTAGACCCATGTTCTGCAAATATTTTTTTTTGGCGTCGGCGAGCTTCGGTGACAGCGGCTGCTGCCCTCGGCCCCCACAAGTAGCAAGAAATCTGAGAAATCACAAGGCAAATTCCAAACTACAATTCGTGAAACATTCCAACTCCAAATCAACACTCGGCCCCCACCTTTCCCAGAGACGGTGGAGGACCTAGTACTAGACCTCTTCGTGCGGAAGGATCTTCGAAAACACGTCTGATGCTTTCATTTTGGGGGGAGTGTCTCAAACATTACGCGCGCTACTTTGATGTTGAAAGCAAGGCCTCCAACAGCACGTCTGCTGCTTTCACGTTGACATTTCGGATTCGCCACAACGCGAGGGCCTCGAACTCCTTCAACACCAAAGCCTCCGGTAAATACCGGTAGGCAGGGCGCACAGAAGCATCCGGACAAATACTTTGTTTACGCAGTCGGCAGCAGAATCACTCATAGCACGGCCCTGTAAGCAGGACCTCCACCAGGTTCTGGCTAAGCCACGGCTCGGTGCTGTCCCAAAACGCAGACTCATCAACCGTGACTACGATTGGAACCCTGTACAGCCACACCCGGTACGAATATATACCGGTTTGGGAAATCCCAAGAGTGTGAATGGAGTTGTTGCTCTGGAACAATGCACGGTGATCCAAAACAAAATCCATGCTGTTAACATTATCGAACAGAATGTATCCGTGCTCCTCCCGTCGAAAATCTTTCAGATCTGGCGCTGGAGCGCCCTGCGCCGTCTGAACATAGGGAGGTTGCCAGCCAAACAGTTGGCCAAGAGATTTGGCCAAGGTCGATTTCCCAGTGCGCGAGCCTCCTCTTAGAAGCAGGAAATTGTACCACAACTGGTCCGACCCATATTGCACAGACCAAGGCTGCAAGGCAGCAACGACTTCTACCCGAAAAGGCCGAGTCAAAGCTGCCAAGGTGACTTCCACCCGGCGCTGCTCAGCTTCATGCTGCCCAGCACGTTCGTGCAGCCTGACTGCTTCCGCAGTCTTCAAGCGGCCAATGAATCCGGTGCGGACCTTGCACCTTGGTGAAGCACACCCAAAAAGAAAGATGAAAGTGCGTCGCTCTACTCACAAAACTCTGCGCAGAAAAAAGCACGTGGACTGCTAAGCTGCAGGCGCGTACTCCAAGTGACTCCAAGCACACCGCATGGGTGAGCTTGTGCTCACTCCACAAATTGTCCAACCACCACCCCTTCACGGGGTAGTCCCGCCAAGGCTCGTAACCTGAAGTGGCCACTTCCACCGTTCCAACCTTGCAAGGAGCAGCACGCCACACCTGCTACGACTGCTACGAACTTCAGAAGCAAATCGATCTCCAAATCACCCCTTCCATGACTGTGCTTTAACTACCGGCAAGCACTAGCATCAACAATCCGTCAAGGCAGCCTTTTGGGCGAATGACCGTGGTTCACGACCTCCCGCTGCTTTGCACCTCGACCCTGAGTTGGCTGTGCATTTGGGCAAATCCCGTGGAAGCATACAGGACGAAGAGTGCTCCAGTCCACGGCTCTGCCAAACTCCACAAACACGTGTAAATGCAACCGTCCTGCGTCTGCAGATCGGACGGACCTCTCCAGAGTTGCCATCCACCGCCACACAAGCGCGAGTGTTTCCAACCAGGCAAGAAACTCGACCCGGGTGCTTTCGCGGATATCTAGGCTGTTGTACGTGAACAAACATGATCTGGATCGCAGGTGAAAGCCAGCAGCAGCATCTGTGGCATCCAATACACCTCCAAATCATGCATGGTGCATGCCTCCACGGTTTGTTTGGTGTTCGAACGACACTTTAGAGACACTCCAGCTATGGCAACGCCATCCAAAAGCTGTCTCCGGAAACCCTCCAGCTCGGGCCCCGCCATCCAAGAGCAGTTTCATTGTGTTTTCGAGGTTTAGGGAAGTTTAAGGTAGGGTCTAGAGTCTTCGCGAAATTTCGAGGTTTGGGGGTTTGAGGCTTATAGAAAGCCCTCCAGCTATGACAGTCCCACCCCGTAGCGGCTTCTTGCACGAGCGCATCTGTTTCGACTGTTGCGGTCGCTTTCAAACCGCCTTGATCTGAATATTTCATGCTTACACCTTCACACCGAAAACTCCATCTCTAGCGTCTTTCTTCGACTCTGTAGCATACTCGCCCGTTTCTCCGGCCTGGCTGATTGTTGAACGAAGAGGACGGAGTCAAATGTTGACAGATTGGCTTGCAGGCGTGCTTGAGTTAGTTCACACCTTCCGCAGCTGAAAAAGTTGCTTAATGTGTCAACCGCAGACGAAACTTGCGCGCAGCATAGAAAATTGCCATGCTGACTATGGAATGCTTATAGCTGCGCCTGTGACGCAACAGAATCTGACGTCAAACCGATTGTGCGCTCTCGCTTCATCGGCTTCATAACATACCTTGTTTGCACCAATCATGTCACATGTTCTCACCGTCTGCTGCAACGCGCACTGCTCTACCTTGTCAAACAGCCAGTTTCAACGTGTTGAATGCTATGGTGTGATACAGATTCACGGGCTTCGCAACACACGCAGGGACACAACACACACAAACACACACCACACACACACACACAAACACATGCAAAGACGAAATATGCAACATTGCTCGCGTTGAAAACCTCAATAAATGCTTCAAGTGCTTTAAACTCATACAAATTGTTGCGTCTCGTGTGGTGTTTTCTTCCTTGGCTCTCGGAGGTCCTTTACAATCGCGTTTGTTGCTGTCAGCTTCGGGGTGGTGTCTTCAACATCACGTTTACTTGGCAAGCTTTCCAAAATCACGTCTGCTGCTTTCAGTTTGGGGCAAGGTCTCTCCAATCGCATTTGCTTGTCGTATTTCGCAAGCAAGGTTTTTTAAACGCATGTCTGATGCGGTCACGTTTTGCAAGAAGAGGAAAATTCGGGAAAAAATGCCTTATGAAACTTTGCAAGGATTGTGTGTCGAATTTCGACGCAGGATTCTCGCACTTCCTACAAGGAAACAACCCAGCCGCAAATTCCTCAAAACCCAAACCCTGTGACAGAACAATAAAGTTCGAAAAATGGCTTATGAAACTTTGCAAGGATCGCATGTCGAACTTCGACGCAAGACTTAAGCACTGCATACAGGAAAACCTTCCAGCCGGAAACGCCTCAAAACTCAAACCCTTTGCAAGAGCAATAAAGTTCGAAAATAATGGCTTATGAAACTTTGCAAGGATCGCGTGTCGAATTTCGACGCAGGACTTAGGCACTTCATACTTCAGACAGAAAAACCTTCCAGCCGCAAATGCCTCACAACCCAAACCCTGCGCAAGAACAATTAAGTTCGAAACAAATGGCTTATGAAACTTTGCAAGGATTGCATGTCGAATTTCGACGCAAGACTTAAGCACTTCATACAGGAAAACCTTCCAGCCGGAAATGCCTCAAAACTCAAACCCTTTGCAAGAGCAATAAAGTTCGAAAATAATGGCTTATGAAACTTTGCAAGGATCGCGTGTCGAATTTCGACGCAGGACTTAGGCACTTCATACTTCAGACAGAAAAACCTTCCAGCCGCAAATGCCTCACAACCCAAACCCTGCGCAAGAACAATTAAGTTCGAAACAAATGGCTTATGAAACTTTGCAAGGATTGCATGTCGAATTTCGACGCAAGACTTAAGCACTTCATACAGGAAAACCTTCCAGCCGGAAATGCCTCAAAACTCAAACCCTTTGCAAGAGCAATAAAGTTCGAAAATAATGGCTTATGAAACTTTGCAAGGATCGCGTGTCGAATTTCGACGCAGGACTTAGGCACTTCATACAGACAAGAGAACCTTCCAGCCGCAAATGCCTCACAACCCAAACCCTGCGCAAGAACAATTAAGTTCGAAACAAATGGCTTATGAAACTTTGCAAGGATCGCGTGTCGAATTTCGACGCAGGACTTAGGCACCTCATACAAGAAAGCCTTCCAGCCGCAAGTGCCTCACAACCCATACACTGTGCAAGAACAATAAAGTTCGAAAAATGGCTTATGAAACTTTGCAAGGATCGCGTGTCGAATTTCGACGCGGGACTTAGGCACTTCACACAAGAAAACTTTCCAGCCGTAAATGCGATTTGCACACGGCCCAACTCTGCACTGACAAGCGAGCAAAGATGCAGATCTTTCCTCGGGCACAGTTATCTTGCCTGAAACCAGGCTACCAGGAACTACTTACAGAATTCTGTAAAAGGCCTGCTGCTGATGCTTTGGAGAAACGAAAGCCAAAGCAGCACAAAGCCTGCTACGGGTGACCATTGACAGGCGAGCAAAGATGCAGATCTGTCCTCGGGTGCAGTAATCTTGCATGAAAACAGGCTACCAGGAACTACTTTCAGAATTCTTCAAAAGGCCTGCTGATGCTTTGGAGAAAAGCAAGCCACAGCAGCACAAAGCCTGCTACGGGTGACTATTAGCGCTGGCGCGCTTCTGCACGATCAGCGCCAGCCGCCAGAAGATCCTGCTCGGACAAGTTTTTGGCGACAGCCGCTGCCTGCATATGCCACACAGGTCAAAAGAGGGTGGCAACAGAATGGGCCTACAACAAATCGGCCTTTTTGAGTTGCTCGCCCTGCTTTTTGACCTGCTTCGTCAGCTCCTTTGCGTGGGCTTTGGCTTCGGCGCGAGCTGCGCGCAAGCGCTGCAACTTCTAACCAAGTGTCTCCTGCTAACAAGCATGCACACAGAATGAAGATGTGGCGTGTTAAGAGCGTCCTGTGGCAACACCAGCGGGTACGCTGGTGCTGCTGCCGGTGCTGCTGGTGCAGGTGCTGCAGCATCCATGACACAGCACCGTCCCTACCGAAGAGCGCAGGCTCTTCTCGTGGCTGCAGGCATATGCATGCGATGCCAAACCGGCAACAAAAAACGAGTCCCAGAATTGGAGTCCTGTAAACCCGCTGTTTTGCGCCTCGCGTCCTCGTTCCGTAGGAGTACTACTACTACTACTACTACTACTACTACTACTACTACTACTACTACTACTACTATATACTACTACTACTACTACTACTACTACTACTACTACTACTACTACTACTACTACTACTACTACTACTACTGCCCTACTTCTAGTCTACTACTACTCCTAAGCCCCAAACCCGACCCTTGGAAGGCCTCCCAGGACGACTTGAAGAGCTCCCACGAGGCGTCTTCAAACAAGAAGCCTTGTGGGGTTCAGAGGGGTTACGACTTTCTGTTTAAGGAATCTATAGGGTTTTAAAAGGGTTTGAGGTTGAGGGATTTTAGGGGCTTTCGGGCTCAGAGGGACCCTTTTTGGGCTTCAGCGTTCAGGAGGAGTTCCTGAGGGCTTCGGGTTTGGAGGTTTAGGGTTTAGGAGCAAAAGGGTTTATGGTGAAGATTTGCGGCTCAGGGGTGTACCTAGATCCCCCAAGTACCTTTTACAGTAGTCCCTTATTACATCTTAAAGAGAAATATTAGAGCCCTGTAAAGGGTGCTTGGGGGGGTCCTCGAAGGTTGTAGGGTTTAGGGGCTCAGGGGTCCTGATCCGGACTTGCGCTTAGGGTATCCTTTTAAGCAGCTCTAGGAGCTTAGTGTTCAGGAGTTTAGGGTTTAGGGGTTTAGGGGCTTAGGGCCTCAGAGGTTGAGGGTTTTGTTTTTGATTCAGGGTGTATTGGACTGTCACACTGCCATGTCCTGCCGGTTTAGGGGTTTAGGGTTGAGGGTTGGGGTTGAGGCTTAGGATGCTTCTGGTCAGAGTCCTACTGCCTGGTTCAGATACGGATCACTCGCTCTCTGAAGATTCCTGGACGTTCGGAGCAGGAAGATAGAATCGCAGGGAACCTAGCAGACGCCAAACCCGCATAGATCCCTTGTAGAACGCTCTAAGGAGGCTGTCAAGGAACCTATCTACTGAGGGTGGGAATCAAAAAGAATAACTGCCCTTGGCCCTATAGCCCCAGAATAGTAGGATTTATAAAAGGAACCCTAATAAAGGCCCAAGGTGTCTTAATCAGGTTCTTACATTACAGAGCCAAGCTGGACCCCTGGTTATGGGTCCGGAATGCGCTTGAAGAGCTGGGTGTATGCATCAGCGGTCTACTATAGGGGTCTAAATAATTACCTATACTACCTTTAAAGGGTTCCTTAAGGGTTCCTGTGAGGGTTCTATGAGGAGGGTTTAAATAAATGGGGTTCCTACATTAAAAAACCTAAACCCTAAACAACACGAAGCACCATCTTGCTCACGGTCCTCGCCATCCCCACCGCCATCGGCAACGTCATGGCTACCACTACTCTAGGGACCTTAATTTTTAGATTAGGGGTTCCTCGAAAGGATTCGAGAGCTCTATAATGGATCTATAATAGGGTTCTATAATTTCGGAGCCTTACAATTAGAACAGCGTTTTGGGGTATATTATACCATACCTACAATAAGGAACAGCAGAATAGTATAGGTAATTATTTAGGCCCCTGTATTACCCTATCACCCACAACACGACTAAGGCAACATCGCAGGAATATGCACTCGGAGATGGACGCAAGCCTGTACTTAAAGGTTCATGGGGGCTCAGAAAGTACAGTGATAAGTATCTTAACTGAGCTGATTCTCAATTCTACGTATAGTTACCTTGTCTAGAACCCTAAAGTTATACTAAATCCCGCGAACCTAAACCCTAAACCCTAAATTTGGCCCTAAATCCCGCGAACCTTTGAGTAAGTTCCCTTACCTCAAGCCTCAACACGGGACCTCTCGCGCCGGGCTTCATCAGTACTTCGTAGGTTTACACGACATGAGTTGGTGAAACGGTTATAGGGTTCAGAGTTGAGGGTTTTGTGTGGACGAGGCTGTGAGGTAGCTTAGGGGATTAGGCTAGTTCAGGGCTAGGGCGGGCGGAGGGGGGGAGGGGTTTTGCTCTCGCTAGGGTGTTCAGCGTCTGCGGTGAGTTTGTGCGAGGACGAGCGCTTCCTGAAGCCGCCAAGGAGCCATCGTGCAAGGAGCCGATCCAGCCGCAGATGAGGAATGCGTGTGTGAAGATGACCTCATGCGGCTTTCATCGGGTCATAAGTGCTCTAAAGGGTTCACAGGACGGCACTCAAGAGGTTTGCTTAGGGCTTAGCAGGGCTATGCAGAGCTTTCTAGTGCCCCTTACTTTCTGAAAGTGCCATGTGCGCAGCACCTCGATCCAGTCCAGAGTGACCTTCATCGCATGCTTGCAGGATTCTTTCCGTCACGAAGAATGGGTGTCCAAAATCCCATACGACGAATGCTAAACAGACTCAACTGAAAACTATGAATGCTTCCAAACGAGACATAGCACAGCGCGATTTGCTAAACCCTCTTCCCTCACAGATCAAAAGATCCTGAACTCTGATTCGTTAGCCGATCCCCTGTCGCGCCCTAACCCTATCCCTAATCCCCAGACCATTTACCCAGAGGCCCCAAAGTAGTTCCTTTTTGGGATTACCCTATAGGATTCTATATACGAACCCCAACAAGGAACTACTTTGGGGCCTCTGGGTAAACCCTAAACCCCTAAACCCTAAACCCTAACCCTATACCCCAGACCATTTAAAACCATAAACCCCGAAGCTCACAGCATCAGCCCTACCTTTAACTAACTCGGACAATAGGCTCAGGCCTTTAGGGTTGTAGGGATTCAGGTCTGAGGGTTTTGGAGGGGAACCCGCGCCCCCAACCTACCTGCTTTAACTAACTGGGATTAGGGTTTTGGGGCTTGTGGTTACCCTCTACTGAACCCACACTCCCAACCTACGAAGCCTGCACACGTCCATGTGCGCGCTTCCATTAGCTAGGTTCCCCAGAAGCCGTTGAATAATGAGGGTACCCTTTTTCCTACTGTTCGGCCTTAAGACGGGATCCCATAATTGCAAAGGGCAAAAAGCTACCTAAACAATAGACCCTAAACCCTGAACCCTGAACCCTAAACTCAAAATTGCAAAGGGCAAAAGGCTACTCCTGGGGAAAAACCATCAGACACTGAGCCTAAAACCGAAACCGAGCTTGTCGAATGGTACTACTGTTGATGATATAAATCTTGCATGACCTTAAGGACCCCAAACTATGGGAATTATGGTATATTCCTTATTATGGGTAATGCAGGATTTATATCATCAACCGTAGTTAGTTAATATAGGAACCAAAGAAACAGAGCGGTGGAGAATCCGCTTTAGAGATGCCAACTTAAAGGTTTATGGTACCTAGTAACTAGGAGTTAAGGGCTCCTTTACAGGGTACTATAAGGTTCTATAATGGGGTTCCCTCATGGGTTTAGGGTTTAGGGCCAGTTCATGGGACCTAGTAACTAGGGGCACAAACAATGTAGCTATTGCAACCCCAGTTGAGGCACTTATAACTGAACTGAATAAGTCCCCTAAATCCTGAGACCCTATCAAAACCCTTCGAGTACCCTTATAGAAACCCTAAAACACCCCCAATGGGTCCTTTTAAGGAGCCCTTTAAGTTATTAAGTCCCATGAGCCTCCAAGTAAAGGGACAAGAGGACCACCGGACCCCCTAAACCCTCAACGCGGAGGACCAGACGGCCGGGTGACTAGCAGAGTTTTAGGGTTTTTTTGTGGTTAAATGCATCGGGCTGTTGATGCCTCGCCAGCCCACCCTTTCGGATCTGCACACTCCATTAGGGTTTCGGGGGAACAAGGTTTAGGTGGCTTTGGGGTTTAGGGTTTAGGATTTGGGGGCTTGACCTAAGCCAAGAAGCACCCAAAAACCCTCGAAGTCAAGACCTAAACAACAAAGTAAGCAAAGCCGTCATATGGTTAAGAGCTGAAAGGGTCGAAAGAACACAACGTCAACCCCCCCCCATCCCTGGAATTTCATTCACAGGCCTCCAAGTATACAAAAACCCTTAACCCTAAACCTAGTACCTACGTCGTGGTGTAACATATGCCTACTTTAAGCTCGCCCCGATACTAAATCCTTTTAGCCCGAGCAGCCACAGAGACGACGTTGAACTTGTAGCAAGGGACATAAGGTGCGATGAGAACCACCAACTCCGCCTGCACAGGTGCTTTAAAACATCGGTTTTAGGTTTGAAAAACAACAAATGTTAAACAAAAAATTATGGGACACAGGGTGTAATCAAGACAACCAACTCAGCCTGCATCAGCGAGCAGGTGAAGGCATAGCCGAGGTATCGGAGACCGTTCACATTGCCAATGTGCAGCCAGCGGAACACGGAGAAGAATGCGGCGAGTGCCTGCGCAATGCACATGGCGATGTTCAGGTTTCGGCAGTATGCGATCCTGTCCGAACAGGGCTTGCTCGGCATGTCTGGCCACGTCTTCATCAAAGTCCACCACTGGTCCGCCGCTGGAGAGACGTAATCACGGAACATAAGCCACACTGCATTTATCGGCTGCTTGACATCGGTCCTCACGACAATGCGGAGGGCGAGGTAGGTGAAGAACAGCCCGAGAATGATGCTGGTGAGGCTCTCGATCGCAAAGGCTGGATAGAGCGGGCCACACGCACGGAAGAGCTCAAAGTCGTTGAGGTCCTCTATATTATCAATCAAGGCACTGTATCATGAACGATACAGTACAACTGAAACCTTCAACACTAATCCCTAAGCGGATGAACCCCATGCACGACGTCCTCCAGCACCATGACTGAGACGCTTACTGCCCTGGAGCGTTGTGAGCTGCTTGCTGGATCGAAGACGATGAAAAAGTCTTTGGCACGGTTGAGCCGATAGAACATGCCGGAAGCCAGCTTTAATTGAGTTTGAAACGGTTTGCCCTAAGGAAAGTTTCCCTTGAGGGGGTTGGGGGCGCATCAGTCCGCTGCCCGTTTTGCTCTGTTAGCTTGACTTGCCATGTTGTGACAAACCACATGCACAACACAAGTGCGGATTATTTGCGCACTCTCAAGGGTTTTGCTCCAGGCAGCGAAACTTTTTCGTCCAGGCGGGGATCACGAACCAACCTGTTGAGTGCGAGTTAAATGTCAGCCACCCATGCTGGCCACCACCCTGCCACCACCGCTGACTCAGCCAACTGCGGGGCTACTTGGAAGGGCAGGGGACTTAGTAAGTAGGTTATATGTAGAGTTGTAAGTACCCTAAATGGAGTTACCCCAATTATAACCCTGCTTATAACCTACTTACTAAGTCCCCTGCCCTTCCAAGTATGGAGGGAGGTCTCAACAGGGTTCTGACTCGATCTCCAGCGGAAGTCTGACTCCCGATCTCGGCAGATTCAAAAAGCTATCGCCGAGTGTTCTGGGTTCTGCTGGCATATACTTGAAGGATCATGGGACTTAGTAAGTAAGGTTATAAGTACGTTAATTGGGGTTATAAGTAGTTGTTAGTGTGGTTACCCTATGAATAACCCTAGCTACTAAGACCCATGATCCTTTAAGTAGTTTTCTGGGCCAGAAGCGAACATCAACTTCCCAGGCCCCAGAATGCATCACAGCCAACGAGCAAGAGCATTGACGGTTTGAAAAAGTGTCCTGGGCCCCAGACCCTCACACTCCAAGCTCGATGTAGTGGGTTTAGGGGCGGGTTTAAAGTTTAGGGTTAGTATGGTGTGTTCCAGAAGCCCCTAAACCCTAAACTCCTGAACCCCTAAGCCCTTAAACCCGAAGTAGTACTGCTGATGGACAAAATCCTGCATGACCCTCAGGACTCTAAACTATGGAAACTATGGTATATTCCTTATAAAGTAAAAGCCAGAAAGTTGGAATATGGTTATCCGAAACCTTTTATGGTAAATTATAAGGTATCCTACCCTGAAACCATATTCCAACTTTCTGGAGTTCCCTTTAATGGGTAGTGCAGGATTTTGTCCATCAACAGTATGGCATGCCTGCAAACTTCGGACCCCCCAAACCAGTCGGTCTTGGTATTCGGGGCTCCTTGAGCTAAGCATAAGGTGGTGAGGGTTGGGGTTAGGGTTTAAGGCTTAGGGTTTAGGGTTGAGGGTTTAGGGTTTAGGGTTTAGGGTTTATTAGAGCCTAAGTACCCGCTATCAAGGACCATAAGGGCCCTACTGAAGGGTAGTTGCCGGGTGCTGGTACTTAAAGGATCACGGGACTTAGTAACTGGGGTTATAAACAAGGTAACTATACTTGTAATTAGTTATAACCCTAACTAGGGGACTTATAACCTAACTGGTTATTTTAAGGACTTATAAGTACCATAACCCCAATTAGGATCCCGAATAGGGTACTTATAAGTCTACTTATTACCTACTTACTAAGTCCCCCGACCCTCCAAGAAGGGTTTAGGGTTCGAGGCTGCGGCGTTTCGCCGGCTCCGGGTTCTAGGAGGCTCAACATAGATGGGAGCTTCCGAAAATGGGGGGTATACCTTATTCTGGAGCCACGGTTTAGGGTTTAGGGTTTAGGGTTTATGGTCCTTAAAGTAAGGATCCCACTATTTGCGGAATTATATTGGGGTCCCCTATTTTCGGAAACTCCCAGATGAAGATACAGTGTTTGGTGCATGAGGATCCCTCTACAGGGCATTCCAGGCTTTACATCAACGGGGAAGAGGGTGGACCCCTACCCTTTAATGGACTATATCATGGGTATATAATAGCTATGTTAAGGTTCTATACCTAGGGATCCTTATTAAGGGTCCCTCCTTTTACTCTTTGATTACATCAGAGGTCGTTACTACCCTAGGGGTCCATACTCACATGGTATATACTTGGGCCTTTAAGCAGTCCCTGTATAGGTACTGTGGAGCCAAAGTATATACTATTTGGGTACATGGACCCTTATACACCCTAGACCCTACTGCCTTACTATATCCACTTAAAGGAAGGAATGCTCTTTAATTAAAGGATGTTGGAGTATCTGGGGTATAGGCTCCCTACTTGGAGGTTTATGCGACCTTCGCAGGTACAGTTACAGGCACCATAACTGGGGATATAACTAATTACAAGTAAAGATACTGCGTTTGTAACCCTATGAATACTAAGTCCCATGATCCTTTAAGCCTAAACCTTAAACCCCAAAACCCTATAGATCCCTTTTAGGAGCCCTTGAAGGAACCTTTACAGATCCCTTAAGTAGGAAGTAGGCGATGACGCGGTCACTGCGAGTGTCTAAAAGTACCAACATGAGGAAGAGCGCTCCTGCGATCTAATAAACCCGTGGGTCCAGGTACCCAGCCCGCCACGTCAAAACATCAAGGCATGATAGAGCGGCGCTGTTGCGCACGCTTGGATGCCACGATATGCCACGAGCGCGCAGGAGCACAGAAGGCAACAAGGGGAGTGCCCACCTGAAATTCCCTCAGCACATTGCGATGGGGCCTTTATTGTTACGATAGGGCTTTGGGGTATGTTCGAATATTCACTTATGCAAAGAAACCCGACGGAATAATTTCATATTCAGGCTTCCATCCTGTATAATGGCTTGAGACTTCGGCGCCTGCTCGCGCTGCGTGGTCCGAGCTTTGAGAAAATAGATCCATCCCCCGAAGGCTCCATGTACCATATAGTATATATCGTACTTGTCGGGTATCATGGGGAACTAAAGGATAACCTTTTTGGGTATATAAGGACTATTAGGGACTATACTACCCCAAAAAGGTTAAAGGTTACCTACTCTACTACTAGGCATATAGTATATACCTAGGCCTTCAAGTACCTACATAGGGACCCCTTTAACTTATATAAGTATCTACTGTAGGACGGAACCTGATTAAGAAACCTTGGCCCTACAACCCCAATAATTAGGATTCATATAAGGAACCCTGATAAAGACCCAAGGCTTCTTAATCAGGTTCCGATAACTCTCTTCTTCAACAACCGGGCCCCAAAAAGTTCAAACTTTCTAAGATAGAGCTGATATATAAGGCCAAAAAGCTTAAAGTTCCCCGGCTCACTATCTAAGATAATACCTGGGTTGTGCTTTAAACCCTTTGAAAATCATCTATGAATAGGTTCCCTTTGTAAGGAAATAGGGGAAATTAAAAATTATCCCAAAGCACAACCCAGATACTATAAAGGTACATGGAGACTTTGGGCCCCAAGCCCTTGAGGTTGGGGGACAGGGAGCCCGGCGCAGCAGGGTCAAGGCTCGCCAGTGCGAAACAGTTTCTAACCCAAGTAAAATAGGGGCCTTAAGAATTAGAACAGCTTTTGGGGGCCCATGATACTATAGTTCAAAAAAAGAAAACCCCCCAAAAATAGTATAGGAAATTATTAAGAAACAATGTCTCCCTAGGGTCCATGTACCCAAATGGCACATACTCTGGCCTTAGAGTAGTCCCCAAGCTACTCGAGGGCCAAAGTATCTACTATAGTAGTACATGGCCGCCTAGGGTCTTCAAGCCCCACTATAAACACCTACAGTTAACCATAGTATCAGGGTTGACTCCAGCGTATCAGAAGTCCGATGGCGTCCTTGCACCCCTCAACTGACCAGGCCCCTCTAATCTTAGAAAAGATCCAGACATCGGCTTGGAAACAGTGCTTGTTTCCGAATTGTAAACCGTCTGGATTTTAGAGCGGACGGGTCTGCCCACAGCCGTCTGACAAAGGGACGTGCTAAAAATGGTTCGGGGAATAGAAATGGTCTGCGACTGGTTGTTAGTGTAGTAGAAGTGTTCTTGAATATCTCTTATTGGAGCCAATATCAAGCGTTCCCACTAGAATCTACGGAATCCTCTTGCAACTGCAGGCAAAAAAGCAACAGCAGCAGCGACAGCACCAGATCCAACAACTACGGACACGATAACAACATCAACAACGACTACGACGACGATCAACCACCGCGACGACAAGGTAAACAACACACGGTAGCTTCAGAGAACACAACGACACCAGCAATTGCAGCTCTTACAATGGCTTTAACCTCGGCAAATCAACTTTTCAACGGCGACTAGGTCTGTGTAATTACTCAGAATTCATCTCGCTGTTGCCATGAATGCCGGCTCGATCGAATGTTCTACTACATGTTTCGCTGCATGCTTACCTAGCGGCACGCACACTTGCCAGACTTTGATTGGCACAAACCTGACATGATGACATGATACAAAAAAAGCCCTGCACCCTAAGTAACCCTTCATACCAAAACCGCTCAACTCCTCCAAAAATCAAACTCCGAGATTGCCGGGAATGCAACACATTGCATACCAAGGGGCTCCGAGTATAGTACCTACATTTGATGTCTATCGTCAAAACATGTGATCAAACACTCTTGGCTATTTGGAGCCGCAGGGAAACCCGACGTGCCCTTTGCAAAGGCTCGATCCGTCCAGTGCTTGGAAGATCATGAGATTTGGTACCTAAGGGTAAAACTACCGTACTACAGTCAAAATTACAAGCAATTATACCTTTGGTTACCTGATTCTTACCCCGAGTTACTGAATCCCATGATCCTTTAAGCATGCTTCACACCCAGAGCGTCTCTACTCCCGCCGCTGGCTGCTGCACCTTGCACTCGGTTTCGGAGATGCCACCCAGACTCTCGGAAGAATCTAAAACAGAGCCCTGAAACAAGGCATCTCTTGACCCAGATCATGGTAGGATGCTGTTGAGGCCTATTTTATGTTTTTGGATCCTTTCAGTTGTAAAGGGCACAATGGGTTCTGTCTAGGGATCATAGAGCCGCTCTGTAGTAGCGTCCTCGTGAAGGAGCCCTGCCTCCTTGTGCTAGATTGTTGCCATGGTTCCTATTTCTATTATACTACATGCGTAGCATTTCGAGGTGAAGGAAGCCCTTAACCCTGAACCGTAAACCCTAACCCTTAAACCCTAAAGTAGTTCCTCTTTGGGATTACCTCATGAGGATTCTAAACAGTCACCCCAAGAAGGCCCGGTTTAGGATTTAGGGTCCAGACCTTAGCGGCTTCGGGAAGTGAGCAGGGGCCTTCTTTTGGCCGCCGGGGGGGGGGGGGGGGGGGGGCTGCTCTTAAGGCTTGTGCATGCAGTGGTTCAGGGTATAAGGTTCGAGGTTTGGGGTTTAGGGTTTAGGGGTTTAGGGTTCAGGGTATAAGTTAGAAGGGGCCCAGACCCTGTAATAGTGGTATAATAGGAATCTAATTTGGCCCTAATATATTCCTTATAGTCACTATTACGGGGTGGGGGCAGCTTTTAAGGTATAAGGTTCAAGGTTTATTGTTTCAGGTTGAGGGTTTGTTGTTTTAGGGCTTAGGACTTGGGCTATGGCGCGTATGTCCCGACGCAAACGACACAAAGTGGCTCGAACATGAACAGCCCTCCGGGCCCTTGGCCCTAAACTCTAAAGCCCTAAACCCGCCTCTGAACCCTTCGAAGGTGCCAACCTCGAGGAAATTCTGAAGGTAACTAGAAAAGTAACCCTGGCAGAAACCGTTAATATAGGAGCCTTAATAATTACATATCCTATTTCGGGGGTTCCTTATTACAACTATGATATAGTCAGTAAGGCCCCTATATCACAAGGAAAACCCTCCACCAAAACCGTTATGACCAGAATGAACCCTAATGGTACCTTGATGTGCCCGCACAGATACGCTTATAAAGGAACCTAGCAGGAGAGCCTTGGACTCACCATCTTCTTCTTCTTCCGTCGTCTTCTTCTCTTGCAACTTCTGCTCCTTGCGGGCCCGGAGGTGGATTTACCTAGAGGATCATACCCTACCCCGGTTTTTAGGATACCTAGTTTTATGGTTAGGATCTGGTGTATGGAAAAGTAGATACCCGAAAAAAGGGGTAGGGTATGAGCCTGCAGGTAGTGTTTAGGACTTAGGGCTCAAGGCTTAGGGCCTATCTTGACCTCAAGAAACCTACATTTTAAGGACTATAATATAAGGAAATCATAATAGGGAACCCCGAAAAGGTAGCTTCTTTAGGGTTCAGGTAGGGCTTTTATAAGGTTTAGAATGTAGGGTCTTGGGTGTCGGCTGTCGGGTCAACACTTACGGGTTTACGGCTTATCATGGGGAAGGTGCATAGGCGAAAACATCTTACGACAAGGTCGCTGTCGAGGGGCGATCAGCTGACAACCCAAGTGCTAGTAAACGCTAAAAACTCTGCAAAACAAAACATCCTACTTGTACAGTATCATGGGGAACTGAAGGTTAACCCCCCTTGTTGTTATATAAAGAAACTACTACTCACAAAGCTTGAAGGTTACCTACTCTACTACTACGACTATGAAACCCTAATCAAACCGCTCCTTGCCCTTGGGGTGCTCTGATTCGTAGCACTGGAGCTTCTCCACCAACCAGCTTTGGTTTCTCTTGTTCGCCGGCGCGAGATCTGGCCACCTCCGGTTTAGAGTTTAGGAATTTCCGGACCTAAAAGCTCCATGCACATTTATAGTAGATACTTACGCTTTAAAGTGGTCCCTATATAGGTACTTTACAGGCATAAGTATATGCTAGATGGGCACATGGAGCCTTAGGGGGATTAGCCAGATTTGGCGAAAGTTCAGCGTTTAGGGCTTCTGGCCTGGCATTGACAAATTGAATCGCTACGGTTTAGGGTTTCGGGAAAAGGGTGGCTTACAAACTTCAAATTACGGCGAATTTGAAATTGAATCTGCGCAGAATCTGTGCAACAAAACCCGCAAATATTTGACGCCAACCTGTCAACACCACGCGCGAAGTAGGGATTAGGCACCGGAAAGCATTCAAAGTCTACTAATTGGACTTGGACCCAGAACAATACTGTTTGAGTAATTATCTTTGCACCAACTTGGACCCTTCTGGCAAAATCTGAGCGAGATCGGACCTCAACACATGGGAGCTTCCGAAAAAGAGGTAATTACCTTAGTTAGGGGTCCTTATAATAAGGGTCCTACTATTTAGGGTACTATATTAGGGTCCCCTATTTTGGGAAACCCCCACATGACGTTGAGTCCCCGGTAGACCTGCGACGGTGGTCTGCGCCGATCTTGAGCATGGAAAGCGTGAAGCTTCCTTTGGAGATCCTTTGAACGGTTTAGGGCGCTGGGTGACTTGGAGGGGCAGGGGACTTAGTAAGTCGTTTATAAGTAGGGTTATGATTGGGGTAACTCCATTTGGGGCACTTATAAAAAACCCTACGTATAACCTGCTGGAGATGATGTGTATCAAGTTGCTATTGGAGCTTTCGGATTTGGGATACCGACGTCAGGGTTTTAGGAAGTATGTGAAACGCCAAACCCTAAAAACCCTAAACCCCTAAAGCCCTAAACCCTAAACTCTCCTAAACCCTAAACCCAAAGCTGTAAAAAACACAGAGTGGGCTGTTTTAGGGTGCAGGCTCTTGGTCTTTATACCAATTCAGATCGGGCCTTCGTAGCTCGTAGCCTGATCCCCCTAACCCTAAACCCCAAACAGCTAGGGTTTAGGGCTCAAGTTCCTTTACGGGGTACTATGAGGTTCTACAATAAGGTTCCCTGTAAGGGTTTAGGGCTTAGGGCCTACTTAAAGGTTCACAGTTCATGGGTCTTTGTAACTCGGGTTATAAGTATGAACACTATACTCATACTTAGTTATAATAACCGCAATTAAGGTACATACAACTGTACTTACTAACCCTAAACCCTAAAACCTACCTTTTGGGTTCAAGGTTTGACACTGAGTGCCTTAGGGCTGAAACCCTGCCTGGACTCCTGAGAACACCCCTTTTTTAGGGCTCCTTACTAGGATTGGTAGGTTAGTTGGGGTCCAAGTTGACCTTACTTTCAGGGTCCAAAGGACCATTATATAGCTTATGGGTACCAGTTTGGTAGGTTGGTATTTAGGGAGTATATGATCATTATGCACTTGGACCGTGAGTCAAGGCTGAATCGCCTCTGGCCGAAAATAGGGGCCATTGTACTTTAATGAAAATAAGGACCCCCCAAAGTAAGACTGATAATTTAGTGAGGCCCCTATCCTAAACCCTAAACTCTAGAGATCCCGTGAAGGAACCCTTTAGGATCCCTTCAAAGGTAATATAAGTAATTGTTTAAGCCCCTAAACCCCTGTAGTATAGGTAATTATGCAGGCTTAGGGTTTAGGGGGTTTAGGGGGTTTGGGGGGTTTAGGGAATTTAGGGGGTTTAGGGGGTTCAGGGGGTTTAGGGGGTTTAGGGGGTTTAGGGGTTTAGGGGGTTTAGGGGATTTAGGGGGCTTAGGGGGTTTAGGGGGTTTAGGGGGTTTAGGGCTTTAGGGGGTTTAGGGGGTTTAGGGCTTAGGGGGTTTAAGGGGTTTGGGGGGTTTAGTGTTTGTCCTTGCTGCTATTGATGTTGACTTCGTGCTGTGGGCGTCTGGGTGTGCGGTGGCTGTGTGGCTATATGGCCGTGGTCGCGGTTGTGGCTGGTGTGCATGATGATAATCGTGATGATGATGATGATGACGATGATACGGTGATGTCGATGTCACCAACATCGAACAACATACATGACAACAATGACAGCGATTGAAAATCGTCGAGAAAACCGTATTTGTAACCCCCCATCGGACCCTTCCAACAACCTTCTAAAACTATACACAAACCCATTGGCATCAAGTTTTAATGTTGCCAGCAGGTTTGGGCCCTAAGCTACCGTCCGTCCCTAAACCTTATAAACGCTAAAACCTCAGCCCTACAGTTCGTCCCTAAACCCCAAACCCTAAAAACCGCCCCTTCAAGACGTGGATCATGTTTAAGATGGCGAAGCCCACGGCGTTGCTTTTCGCATCACCGAAGAGGCCAAGACCTGCAGGGATTCTTTGACGTTTATGGGCTTCGGGGCTCATAGGGTTTGGGGTCTGTGACAAGGAGTTGAAAAAAGGGCAGCATAAGAATCCTTAAAGGGTCTGGCAGGGTTGTCAAAGGGTTGTGATAGATAAGGGCATTTTGGGGTTTGGGGTTCGAGGTGTAGTTCGGGTTGTTGAGAAGATCCGCTGAATGGGTGGAATTCGGCGAACCTCGCAAAAAGGGAGCCTTTCCTCTCTTCTTCAACGGCCGTGCCCCAAAAAGTTCTAACTTTCTAAGATAGAGCTTATATATATATATATATATATATATATATAAGGCCCAAAAGTTTAAAAGTTCCACCGTTCGCTATCTAAGCTTCCTTCAGACGGTATGGGAATGCTTGGGATTCAAGGGTTTCGATTCGGGGTGTACTCGGAGGTTCATGGGACTTAGTAAGTACAATTAGAAGTACCTTAACTGGGGTTATAAGTGATCATAAGTTAAGTATAGTTAACCTATTTATAACCCTATAGTTACTAAGTCCCATGAACCTCCAAGTAGGGGTCCGGGTCAAGCTTTCACGGATTCGTTTAGGCTGGTGTCCTTCGCCACCTGCCCCCCCCAGGCTACCCGTGCAGGCGCAGCCAGGGTGCAAAGATGTGCCAAGGTGGTTTTCAACCGTAGCTTTAGAATGCTCATGATGATGAGGAAGGAGAAACAGCGCGCCCGTTTATTCCTACGCTTCGCATCTTCAAACAATAGGTCGGTTTTGCAGCTTCAGTGGCGGGAGCAAACACCCTGAATGCTGCGGGTTTTGGGGTGTAGGCTTTTTCAACCCTAGACCCTGAACCCCTGAACCCTAAAACCCTGAACAAATAAGCCCTAAACCCTAAACTCTAAAACCTTAAAACCCAAAACCCCAAAACCCTAAACCCTACATCGAAAAGCAAAGCCGCGTGCCAAGCTTCAGGCGTTCTGCCCTGAACCCCAGACCCTAAATTGCCCAAATCTCAAGTCCGAAACCCTACCACGAATGCACAGGTTCATCAAAGCTCCCTACATCCTCGACCGATGCCTTCGGCAGAGACCATCCACCAGCATGGAAATGCCGGCCAAGTAAACCTGAGTAGGGTTAAGGGTTGAGGGGGCTTATGGCCTAGGCTTTACACTAACCCCTAAAACAATAAGGTTTTGGGATCTCCAGGTAGGCTGGCTTTAGGGGCGAAAAACCATGCAGATTGTACTTAAGAGCTTCCTAACCTTAGGGTTAGGGGTCCGGATAAACATCAAAAGCGAACCACTATTCAAGTTCTACTATAGGGGCGTTAAAAACAAGATCGGGGATATTATGTTAGAACTCAAATGAGGGACCGAAAGCAATAGTATCATCACAAATTTTGGCTTCTAGATTGACCCTAAGCCCTAAACCCCCATGGGGACCGAATAGATCCCTTGTGGTTCCTTTGGCACCTACATATACTAGGCTTCCCCCCTACACCCTAAACAGTAAAACCCTATAAACCCTTAAACCCCAAACCTCTAACCCCTAAACTTTGCCCTAAACCCTAAACCCTAAAACTTTAGAAACCGTAAACCCCTAAACCCTAAACTCTTAAACCCCCAACCCCTAAACCCTAAAACCCTATAAACCCTAAACCCCTAAACCCTAAACCCTAAAACCCTATAAACCCTAAACCCCTAAACCCTAATCCCTAAACCCCTAAACTCTTAAACCCCATACCCCTAAACCCCGAAGGGTCGCAGGATTTCTGAAGCTCCCATTTTCAAAGGGGAGAAGGAGGGACCCTTAATGGGGACCCCTACCCTATAATGGACGATACAATGGGTATATAATAGCTATATTAAGGGTATATACCTGCAGGGAACTCCAGAAAGTTGGAATATGGTTTCAGGGTAGGATACCCTATAATTTACCATAAAGGGTTTAGGATAATGATATTCCAACTTTCTGGCTTTTACCTTAGGGGGCCTTATTAAGGGTCCCTCCTTTTACCCTTGGACATTTTGGACTTCGGGATCCAACCAGAGCTGCTTTTGGAGGTGAGCATATGCGTGGCTGTCAAAATTAGGGTCCCTTTTTGGGTACCCGAAATATGAGGTGCCGGATTATTTTATGGACCCAAAAAAGGGGCCACAATTTTGACAACCACCCATATCGCTACCTATCGGGCTCCTTGTAAAGGCATCTATAAGGGTCCCTTTAAAGGGATCTATGCAATGAGGTTTTTGGGGCGGGCTTTTAGAGCTTTTGGGATCTTGTACAGGGATTGGGTTGAGGTTTTTGGGCTTGGAGGGTTTAGGGTTTGAGTTTGGGGTTTCGGGCTTGGAGCTTCGGGGTTGGGGCTTAAAGGGAACTCCAGAAAGTTGGAATATGGTTTCATGGTAGGATACCCTATAATTTACCACAGAAGGGTTAGGATAACCATATTCCAACTTTCTGGCTTTTACTTTAGGGCTTAGGGTTTTGAGCTAGGATTTGGGGCGTGGGGCTTAGAACTTGGGGGTTTAAGGCTGAGGGCTGTGAGTGCTATTGCTGCAATGAGATAAAAAAAGTTGGTAATGTGCTCCCACTATTACTAGCACTGATAGAACGTTAGCTTCGACTAGTTCTGATTTCAAGCAGGGAAGTGCCGTAGACAACCCGAACATAGCGGTAAACCCTGCAGCACGCGGCTGGATAGGCTCGGCTGGTCCTGGCACCACCGCAAGCATAGCCTCCAAATCCGCGCTCGGCAGCTGCTCCGTACAGACTTGACATGCTGTCTGTAGCCTTCGCGTCTCTGAGGCCGACCGGGTTCTTCTTGACCAACCCCTCGTAATTGTACTGGAAGACATTGGCTGCGTGATCTTTGTGAAGCTGTCGCGCGGCCTCGAGCAGGAGCTCCTCTTGGCTCAGCGCGTTGATCGTGAAGACCTCGATCCTTCGCATCGCGTGGATCTTGCAACAGGACAGGCCGTCCAAAGTCACGAGGAACATTTGTTGTTCGCTCCCCGTTTGCGATTGCATCGGGAAACTTTGGATGTGGCGAGGCTTACTACTGCCGGTCGTCTTGTCCTCCCTGCCCATCAAGTCCTCCAGTTCGCTTTCCGTGAGGAGCCCGAAGGTCATAAAGATAAATTACGAGCCCAATTACTAGGGAGAGCTGCTCGCATAACCCGAAACCTTAAACTTAAAACCCTCTTTGAGAGAAGTACTAACACCCTGTGTGTAAACTTCAGACGCTTCAGATGCCGAAGGAGATATCATTTACAGATATACTTGAAACCCTACGAATATAGTTTCCTCAAGTTGATCATCGAACACGTATGCGCAAGGACCAGGACTGGACAGTATAGGGTCTCTCGTAGGGGTTCCTTTAGGGTACTATGTCCTAGAGCTTCGTTGCCGGTACTTGTAGGCTACTTAGTATTCACAGATATCGTTTGTAGAATTAAAATAGAATGCCGAAAACACGCCAACCAGTGACCCACGCTTATGCAACTGAAGCCCCTGCAAAGTATTACTGCATGGCTCTGCAACAGGAAAGCAAGGGAGTTCATGATTCATGGGTCCATGCATGAAATCCTACCCCAAACCCTGAACCCTTGTGGCTTGAGATTTCAGAACAATTAATCAACAAAGCCGACCCTGCAGCCCATGCTCCGGACTTTCAATCAAAGGGAAAAGGAGGGACGCTTAATGGGGACCCCTACCCTATAATGGGCTATATAATGGGTATATAATAGCTATATTAAGGGTATATACCTAGCGGTCCTTATTAAGGGTCCCTCCTTTTACCCTTGGATTCAAGCTTTCAGAGTTGAGCATACAGGAAGCGTGTAAGGTAGGGGCGCTCATAGTTACAATTGCAATAGGGTGTTGGGGTGTGTTATACTCTAATCATAAACAGTAGGGGTAATGATTTAGGCCCCTATAGAAAATTTGCTGGGGTATCTGCAGTCTCCTGCTCTCAGCGCTCAGCACCCTAACTGCCTACATCTCAGCTGTAAGCCCTAAATCCTCAAGGATCCAAAACTCGAATACAGGGGCCTGGGGTTTAGGGTCCAGGGTTAAGAATAGTGTTTGGGGCACATTGAGCTGAAATCAGAAGCCCCTAGCCTTGGAGATTTTTCAAACGACTCCATGTTGCACGGACCTGTGCGGGTAGTGCAACACCCTACAGTAAACCCCAGAAAGTTGGAAGCCGGATAAAGGACAAACAGTGCTGGGATTCCCTATATACTCTCTTATGGATTGAAGCCATTGGGTTTCCAACTTTTGGGCTTCTACCATAAACCCTGAACCACAGCTTCGCCAAGTGGCCAGACGCTGCACATCAAGCGAAGGTAGTGGTATGGGAGGTCGCGGTTGGCACGGCACCCTCCTGTTCATGGTTTAGGATTTAGGGGAGAAGCCCGAATAACCTGGACTCAAAGCTCAAGCCCAAAAACCCTGGACCTAAACCTAAACTCCTCAACCCTAGAACTTAAGTTTCCATTCTGTAGGAGCACGGCCGTACCATCAGGGTTCAAAACGGGTGCAAAAGCTTGAGAGTTTAGAGTGCCCGAAACGCCACAAGTTCACTGAAAGCAGACATCTGGGCGCTGAGTTCCGGTCATACACTCTCACACAACGGAACCCAGAAACCCTGCTTGTGCCAAAGCCTAACCTACGCGCTCCTGCGCAGAAGTAGCACAAGGCCAGGAAGGGCATTTGCACAAAGCACAGGAAGCAGAGGCAAGATGCCGTGATGCCAATGGTGATGCCCTTGTTGGTGATCACCAAGTCTGCAACCTTTCGGCCCGGCCAGGGTGTAAACTGTCGCGTTTAGGCTTGGAGTTTTGGGTTTGGGGTGTATGATAAGGCTAGAATTGAAGTTGTCAAGTTTCGGGCTTGGGGTTACCCAGTGCTTGCAAATTTGCCCAAATCAATCCTCAGCCCTGTGACCCCAAACTACAAAACTAAATCATGAAACCCTAAAGGCTAAACAAGAAAGCCCTATGAACCCTCTACCCTGTAATCCCAAACTAATTAATGACCTAAACCCTGTGAACGTAAACCTAAACCCTAAACTCTATAAGCCCTAAACTAATTAAGCCTCAACCCACTACCTGGACCCCCCAACTACCCTCTAATATACCCCGAATATCCACAAGGATAGGTCGGTGCTGATGGGCTTGTTGACGAAAGCCTTCCGCGCTCGAAAAATCCACAATTACGGGCCATAAGGACTCTGTTCAAAGGCCAGCCGTTCCGTGTTCACCCCTTCGCTTTCGTCGCTCGACGATCCTCGTGGAACACTGTGGCTGCAATACGACGCGTCGCATTTCCGCGAGGAGCACTTACCCTAAACCCTAAACCCTAAACCAGAGCTTCCTCCAGAGCATGCTCCACTCCCTGCAGGTCCGCCGCCCGCAGCTTGGAAGGGCAGGGGACTTATTAAGTAGGTAATAAGTAGGGTTATAATTGGGATAACTCCATTTAGGGTACTTATAACTCTACTTATAACCTACTTACTAAGTCCCCTGCCCTTCCAAGAAGTCCAGTAGGCGTTTGCCATAGCTGAGGCGATGGCATTCTTTCCCCAGGCCCGAACTAGCTGACCTCCAAGCTCGTGGAGCATGCAGATCTTGGGGCCTTGGTGTTCCTTTAAGGGATCTTTTGCGGGTTTCTTTACAGGGCTCCAAAAAGGCGACTCTACCGTTACTATAATGGGTATTATGAGCATTCTATATAGGTTTTAGGTTTTGAGGGTTTTATAGGTGTTCACGGTTTAGGGTTAAAGGGGTTACGGTTTGAAGGTTTGTACAAGCACTTAGGACTTCGGGTTTATGGGATTAGTGTTCAGCGTCGCTGTGCTTACGCTTTAGAGTTTCTTAGATAGGCATTGAGGGCTTAAGGGTTGGGAGCTTAAGTTCAGGGTTTAGGGCTTGGGGTCTAAGCGCTTCAGGTTTTACGGACTTACGGGCTTCACGGCTGAAGTGACATAGAATGCGACACGGGTACACAGCGCACACGTAGTAGGCTGCTTGCTGTCTTCACACAATCCCAAACCGAAGACCCTGCTAATCAACTAATCATCACTTGCAATTTAAGATGCCACGCCCTTCTGGATCTTTTTCCACTCCGAAAAGTCAACTAAACGCTAAACCTTAAACCCCGAACCGCAACTATCGACACTCCTGAACTTGAACCCCTAGTTGCATATTACACCCTGATCCCTGAACCCGGTTAAGACCTCACCAACCCCTACAACGCCCGAAAATAAAATCTGCTTGACACACCCTGGAGCCTAGACTTAGACCCTAAATCCTAAAACCCTAAACCCTAAACCTAAACCCTAGACCCTAAACCCTGGACCCTGAACCCTGCTTTTCTAGCTTTTGAAGCTCCTGTGGCTCCAAGCCAAGCGCGGACCTTATAACACCCACTATAGGAACCCTTCTAGAACCCTCAAAGAAACCCTCAAAGGAATCCTTAAAGGAACCCTAGAGGAACCCTTAAAGGAACCCTGAGGCACAAAATGACTAACTATTCCCATAAACCTCAAACCCCAAACCCTAAACCTTAAACCCTAAATGTTACACCCTATAAACCCTAAACCCCAACCCTTAAAGAGCCGTAGATTCGACTCCCTTTCAAATGAACCCCTATAGCACCTTTTAAAGGAACCCCTAAAACCAAACCATTTTCCTAGTTGTCGGGTATCATGGGGAACTAACGGTTAACCTGTTTGTTGTATACTGGGGCTATATATGGACTATGCTACCCAAAGAAGGCTAAAGCTTACCTCCTCTACTACTAGGAAGCTTAGTAATTGGGGTTATAATTTCGGTAGCCATACTTATAATTACTTATAACCCCAGTTAGGTACTTATAACAGGACCCACCCTGCGCCTCCCAGGACGACTTGAAGAACTCCCACGAGGCGTCTTCAAACAAGAAGCCTTGTGGGGTTCAGAGGGGTTAGGGGTTTAGGGTTCAAGGGTTTAGGGTTAAGGGTTTAGGGTTCAGGGTTCAGAGGGGTTAGGGATTCGTATCCGAATCCTCTTCCTGGGATCCCAAACCCTACCGTTTTGAGGGTTCTACCCTCTAATTAAGGGGTCATAACCTACTGTTTTGTAGAGTTTGGGGTCTATAGAACCTTTAAAAGGAACTATAAGGGTACTATAGTTATTTATGGCTAGTCTTTTTAGGGCTTCTACAAGTGTACTGTAACTGTAGGGCTTAGGGTTTGGAGTTTTGGCTTGCAGGGTTTAGGGTTGAGGGCCTAAGGTTCCTGATTGCCCTCATTATAATAAGGGGTACCATTAAGGGCCCCGTTAAAGGGATCTATAGGGATTCTATAAGGATTGAAAGGCTCCTGTACGGATTATTGTACCCTGTTTCCTACTATTCCGTTTTCAAGAACGGGACCCTAAAACACAAAGGGCAAAAGGTACCAACCAGGAACCTAGTTTTCAAAGAATCCAAATTCTAGGTTCCTTCAAAGGGATCTATGGGGTTTAGGGCTTCAGGGTTTAAGGGGTTGAGGGGGTTTAGGGTTTACGAGCTTTTCCTTTTCAAGGCTCTTTGCCGACTGCCTCAGGACCCTTAGGGGGGTTGAGGGAGGGGCCCCCTCAGGGTCCCTATGAGATTACCTGGACCCCAAATAACCTACAATGGGGTTCCCTAATATGATTTCTTTATGCAATTCCTTAAAAAGGTAGGTTTTGTGGGGTTAGGCAAGGGCCTTGAGGGTTTAGAGGCGTAGGGTTTTGGATGTTTAGGGATTGAGAGGTCTAGCGGTTTCAGGGTTCAGGGTTTTATGGGTTAAGGACTTACTTCGCAAGGGTGCTAGTGCTTAGGATCATTAGTATTGGATTTTGAGTAGGGTCCTGTGTCTTGCAAATCCCCTGGCCGATCAGAGAAGACAGCTAGAATCAAGGTCAGGTAAGGTGTAGGGTCTGGGGTAACTTGATGCCATCTCACCGTCATTAGCATCATGGCTGTCATTGCCGCCATCACTCCATGCCCAATATTGCGATCAAACACCACAAACATCATCAGTAACACTAGCAGAGTTTGCATCCGTGCTGTGTCTCAAACATCATACCCCAAGGCTCCTTGTACCCATATAGTATATAGTTAGGCCTCAATGTACCTTTATAGGGACCCCTTCAAGGCTTAAGTATCTACAATAAAGGTACATGGAGCCTTTGGGATAGCGCGAACATGGACCCCGGGATGACTGTAAGCCATCGGAACTTTCAGCGACCGACAGGTCTTTGACGTATTTCCAACCTCTACCCCTAGTCCCCGAACACCCTGAACACCACACCACAAGGGTCCTTTAAAAAGCCTAAACCCTCTAACCCCCAAAAGCCCTGAACCGGAGATTTAGTGGCTTTTAGCTTAGGATTTGCGGACTCACGGCGTTTGGGCGTATCCACGGTGGGATTTGGGCGCTTTCTGACGCAGCGGAGGAGCCCTCGTGCAAGGAGCCGATCCAGCCGCAGATGAGAAAGGCATGGGTGAAGATGACCTGAAACGCTTTGGGGTTTAGGGTTTAGGGTGTATGGTTTAGGGTTTTTATATGGTCACAAGGGCTCGAAAGGGTTCAGAGGACTTTGTGTGGGGCGGTTAACGACATGTATGTCAGTGTCCCTTACGTTCTTAGGCTCCCATGTGCGAAGCATCCCGATCCAGTCCATGTTTGCAAGAGTCGCAAAAGAAGGCTTTCCGAAACCCCATAAGTCGCATGCTGAATCTGAATAGCACGAAGATCCACAAACCGCTTTCGGAGGAGAGAAAAATGGCTGAACCTCTTGCCAACCCCCCTTCCCAAAATAACATAAATCCGAACCTCTAAATGTACTAGCAAAATCTTTTCGCGCCCTAACCCAACCCTAGTGCACAAAACCCTTGAGAATGGTATGTGGGCTTTAGGCTCCTGGAGTTTGTATCGGGTCTTGGGGTCTAAGAGCGTTGGGGCTTGTAGCTAAATCCTGCCGAGTGCACATACCTGGACCCTCAAAGCCTAGATGTGCGCTACCTTTGCATAGGACCTAAGGAGCAATTCGGCGGAGGTGTTGATTGTTCCTACTTGTGGCTGCTCTTTCTTTTCCCAGGCCTACCAGGGGACTCGACTGTCATGTTGTGCGGCAAGTATTTGGCAAACAACCTTGACCTGTAAATTGCAGGTTCCTGATAGGTTTAACTAGAAGCCTGAAAAATTACCAAGACTAATCCTTAGGAGTCACTATTATATAGCTAAATTTCAAACAGAGACCAATCCTTAGTCTTCACTAGTAAATAGCTATACTCCCAAGCTATGAAGGCCCTCGTAGTAACATAGTAGCTTGCAGTTGCCAAAAACCCCAAACCCTAAACCCCAAACCCTAAACCCCAAACCACTAAACCCCGAAGCCCTAAACCCAAACCCCGGTATACAATCGAAAGCCGAAACCAGGCCAGGCCAGCTAAATCTAGGAAAAGGAGCCCGGCGGCTGGTGATATAAATCCAGTTTAGGGTATCTTTAAGGGTTCCTTTAAGGGATCTATAGGTATCTTTAAGGGGCTCCTTTAAGGGATCTATAGGGTTTTCAGGGTTTAGGTTGATGGTAAAACCTTCAGAACCCTAAACTATCGGAACTGTGGTATATTCTATATCATGGATAATCCAGCATTTATATCATCAACCGTAGTAAACATGGACCCCAAACCCGAAACCCTAAACCGCAGACCTTTCAGAATCGTAGGAGGGACCAGACCCCAAGGGGCCATGTACCCATGAAGAGATTCCTTTGAGGCTTTAAGTGTTCGCTTCAAGGTTTAGGGTCTATGGTAGTTTAAAGACCCATCTACGACAAAAGAGAATCTTTTAGGGCTTTAAGGGCTCGTTTGTTTCAGGATTTAGGGTTTATGGTTTAAAGACCCATGTAGGCTAGACTTTGGAGGTCTCTGGCCTTGTAGTACCTTAAAAGGCCACAGTATCTTCTTGGCATTGGGTACATGCACCCCAAACTCTAAACTATCCTAAACCTGTGACCCCAAACCCTTCCACATAGTAGGTTATGACCCTGTAGGTAGATGGTAGACCTGGTAGAACCCTTGAAACAGTAGGTTCTTGGATCCATAGGAACCCTAAACCCTAAACGTTGGAGGGGACCGTCGGACGAGGGGTCGGGAATCACTCAAGGAGTGAAGACCGCTCCGCTTGAACAAATGATGGGAGGCCCAAAGGGGGTTTAAGATTCTTGTGGTAAGGATTCCTTAATATGAACCCTATTATGGGAACCCTAATCTCTACTAAACCCCCATAGGCTAAAACCCCTTTTGGCCTCCTATGAACAAACCCCCACAACTTAGGGTTTGGAGTTTTGCTTTCTTTTTTAAAGTGCAATGACTCTTTCGGTGTTTAGAGCTTAGCGCTTCGGGTCTACATCGCATCGCATTCCCGAATCTCCTGAAATCCTAGATCCTGCCAGTCCAAGTGGCCACGGCGACAACGTTGAACTTGTAGCAAGGGACATAAGGTGCGATCAAAACCACCAACTCCGCCTGCATCAGCGAGCAGGTGAAGGCGTAGCCGAGGTATCGGAGACCGTTCACGTTGCCAATGTGCAGCCAGCGGAACACGGAGAAGAATGCGGCCAGCGCCTGCGCAATGCACATGGCGATGTTCAGGTTTCGGCAGTATGCGATCCTGTCCGAACAGGGCTTGTTCGGCATGTCTGGCCACGTCTTCATCAACGTCCACCACTGGTCCGCGGCTGGGGAGATGTAGTCACGGATCATAAGCCACACTGCATTTATCGGCTGCTTGACATCGGTCCTCACGACAATGCGGAGGGCGAGGTAGGTGAAGAACAGCCCGAGAATGATGCTGGTGAGGCTCCTAAAGGATCATGAACCAGGTAACTTCAGTAAGTATTTATTTTTTGTAGTAACTATGGGAACTCTAGTCATATACAACTACTTTTTCGTATGCTTATGATGCTGGTAAAGATCTCGATCGCAAAGGCTGGATAGAGCGGGCCACACGCACGGAAGAGCTCAAAGTCGTTGAGGTCCTCCATCAGAACACCATAAACATGCTATCACGTACTCTATATTGTACAGTGGTATACTATTGCATACCATAGAATATGGTATGCAGTATGCTATAAAATGTCACAAAAACACACACTAACATACGCTTTTAAACGCTGCAGTACACCTTAAAGCCTTCGACCCGGAACCTCAAGCACTTGGACCCAACGGCGAGGTCCTCCAGCACCATGACTGAGATGTGTAATGCCCTGGTGCGAGGTGAGCTGCTGGATCGGATGGTGATAAATATCTTTGAGCCGAACGCCAAATCACCAAGCCAGCGTTGAGTAAACCCAAAACCCCCAAACCCTACACCCGAAACCCCTGAACCCTGAACCCTAAACCCCTAAACCCCCAAACCGCTAACCCCTAAACACCTGAACCCCTAACCCCTAAACCCCTAAACCCCCAAACCCCTAAAGGAGTTGCAAGGAGGGCTTCCCTCATTATAGGGTTCTATATGCTAGACCCAAGCGTAACCTAGGAATAGAAAGGGTACCCTTTTTGGTTTAAAGGGGCTTATGAGGGAACCTGAACCCTAAAACGGGAATAAGGGCCTACTCTAGGTCCTAGTTTATTTAGAGGGGTTGGCCAAGGTTTGCTAGTGCGTACTATAGGGTTGCATAGAAGTGTCCAATGGTTTAGGAGGATTTAGGATGCAGTGTCCAAGGTTACCCAATCCAGAACAATGTCATGCACATCATGAGACTTCGCCTGCATTTCAGGCGAGTTTGGTGTTGCCGCGATGACACATAAATCGAAACCTTGATCCGTAAACCCTTAACCTTAAACCCTACCTAGACCCCAACCCCAAATAACCTACCTTTTTGAGCACTCCTATAAGGAAATCATAATAGGAACCTTAAAAGGGAAGGTGTTGTAGGGTCCAGGTAAATTTGAAACCAGCCTATAAGTGTCGTTTCGCAAGCTCCTGGGCCCGTGCAGCGCGCAGGCCTTGATGATTTCGGACATCACGGCGCCCGACGTCTTGACTGTGACCTGCTTCTTGGCTTGCGGTTTAGGGTTTAGGGGTTACCCGCTTAGGGTTTAGGGTTAATTCTTGGCTTGCGGTTTACGGCTTATATAGGGTCTTTAAAGCTTTGGGGTGCAGGGTTCCACGGAAACTGACCAACAAAGAACGCTGAGCATGCGCCAACATGGGATCCATGCAGTAACTATGGCAGAACTATGCTGATCAGGCCGCCAAAGAAAGGCCAGTCACTACAACCCATGAAAATGACTATCACCCAGAACAACAGTCATGTCTATGATGATGCAAGTTGCGGCGGCAATAGTCACAACCGAAGTAACCGTGGTCAAAGGCCAGAACAATGATAGTGGCAATAGCAGGTATGCAGCATGAACAGTCTAGTCAACAAAATTAAATGAACAACCATGAGAACGGTAGTTGACGCCACTCCACCATACTAGCAATGGACAGCACCAAAAGCCACAGCTTTGCTAAAACTGGCAGCAATCGTGCAAACATTACTGAAACCCTAAACCCTAAACTAAGTATATAGAAGAGACGGCTTATGCAGTTTTTATTTACTCCCTCACATTATAGAAACCCTAAGCGACCCTAAACCCTAAACTAAGTATGTGTATATATATATATATATATATATATATATATTTACAAATATAGATAGAAGAGATGGCTTATGCAGTTTTTTATTCACTCCCATCAGGTTTTGCGAGATTTCGCAGCTGTTCTACCGAGGGCACGGGGCTTTGGGATGACGGAAGGGTTCAGGAATTGGGGCTTAGGGAAACTTTAGGGTTTAGAGGTTTAGGGGTTTAGGGTTTAGGGCTTTAGGGGTTTAGGGTTTTAGGGGTTTATGGGTTTAGGGTTTTAGGGGTTTAGGGGTTTAGGGTGTAGGGTTTAGGTTTTAGGGACCTGCGGCCTCTGGTGGTTGCAACTAGGTGGGGAAGTTTATAGGGAACTCCAGAAAGTTGGAATATGGTTTCATGGTAGGATACCCTATAATTTACCATAGAAGGGTCAGGATAATCATATTCCAACTTTCTGGCTTTTACCTTAGGGGAACGTGCTGTGCTTATAAACATCTTATGGGGATATCCCTACCTTATTGGCCTTCATTATAAGGGGCTTTATATGGGATATCCCTATCCTAATTTTTGCTTATGTGCTTTTTTGGGGCCCTATTTAGGGGAACGTGCAGTTCACGGACCTTGAAAAATCTCAGGCGTTGCCCTCAGAAAATATTCGATTCCCGGTTACTTGGAAGGGCAGGGGACTTAGTAAGGGCTCTTAAAGGGCTCCTTAAAGGGATCTATAGGGTTCCTTAAAGGGGTCTATGAGGGTTTAGGGTCTACTTGGAAGGGCAGGGGACTTAGTAAGTAGGTTATAAGTAGAGTTATAAGTACCCTAAATGGAGTTACCCGAATTATAACCCTACTTATAACCTACTTACTAAGTCCCCTGCCCTTCCAAGTATGACATCACCGAAACCAGGGCTTGACCCTAAATCTTAAGCCATGTACCTTGCACCCTCAACGAGAGGATGCGGCAGCCTAGGACATGCAGCACTACCCAATCTAAAGCACCGGTGTTAACGGTTCTTCGCGCTACAATACAATACCGGTGCTTTGAGCATCGACTTACTAATGCTATTACTGCTGGCTCCGTGAAAAAATAAGATATGCCTGTGATGAATATCTGCCCCACAACCCTATTCTGTTCACTCATGAACACCTATCCTACACAGCGTTTATTTATGACTGAATATCGCTATGAAATAGCCCTCCAAAACATTCTAACGATTCAGGCTTTAAGGAAACCATTCCTAACTCCCATAATATCTCTTACAGTATCAGTAACCCTTAGGGGTAGTTGGACAGCCTGACTAAATATTAGGTGCCGCATTACAATAAGGACCCAAAAAGGGACCATAATTTTGACAACTACCCTTATACAGAACCCTTTAAAGCAGCCCCTAAAAAGGGCTGGTCAGTTCCGGAAGCTTCGTCAGCAGAGTCTCTCAAGTGATGTGGGAACCTGATTAAGAAACCTTGGGCCTTTATTGAGTTCTTTATATGAATCCTACTATTTTGGGGGTATAGGCACCGGTTTTCTTAATCAGGTCCCTACATTAAACCCTAAACCCAAAACCCTAACAAAAACCCAAACTATGCTAAAACCGCTCCCAAATCTCGAAAGCCAAGCACCCTAAACCCTAAAAGCTAAAAACACCGCTAAACCCTCACTTACTAAGGGTCCCCTAAACCTCAAACCGCAAAACCTCTCAAAGGCCTAAGGGCACCTTGAGTCTAAAGGTCCCTAAACCCTAAAGGTCCCTAAACACTTCTTGGGTTCAGGAAGTTCAGGGATCAGAGCTTAGGGTTCAGATAGGGGGAGGGGTTAAGGATTTATGGTTTAACTCAAAGGGCTCCTTCATACAAAACCCTAAACCCTAAACCCTACGTACCTGGATTCGGTTTGTAGTGCGGCCCGAAAATCGCACAGACGATAACCATAAACCGCTTAATGCCAAGGCTACTAACCCTGAACGCTACGCTTAATGATTTGACTAGGGTCTTGCTGAGTATGAAGTGTATTATAATCGCCTTTACAGTATACTTATTTATAAGTAGTTACGTAGCTTGTATCTAACTTTATATAAGTGGACTGCAGGGAACATTATATCTAATCGTTCGAGTTGTGTTTTGCACTTAAATCCCCGCAGCCCTGAAACCCTAATTCCCTGAAACCTCGTCCACAGTTGCAGTTTCTCCTCTCCTATCAACGTTCCTGCATGTCCGGTATCCTGGGGAACTGAAGGTTGATCTTTGGGAGTACATTGGGATTGTAGTACGCCAACAAGGGTCAAGGTTACCTACTCTACTACTTGGAAGGGCAGGGGACTTAGTAAGTAGGTTATAAGTACGGTTATAATTGGGGTAACTCCATTTAGGGTACTTATAACTTATAACTCTACTTATAACCTATACTTACTAAGTCCCCTGCCCTTCCAAGTACTAGGCATTGTTTCGAATGCAGCAATGTCCTCCTCAGAGGTCTGACTGCGACACAAAAGCAGGACTGCTACGGTTGATGATAAATCCTGCATTACCCATAATAAGGAATATACCATTATTCCCATAGTTTAGGGTCCTTAAAGTAATGCAGGATTTATATCATCAACCGTACAGATTCCTCAGCTGACAGTGTGCCATGCTGCTGTCGCCACCCATGCCCACATCGCCCCAAGTCAGTACACTTCCATTGCCAAGAATGGCAGCAAAAGCGCTCGCAGACGCTTGGATCTGCTGCACATTCTGCAGCTGATCCTGCACGGCGCTGGCGTCACCACCCTCGCGAGCATGACCCCAGGTAACGACAGATCCATCATCAAGAATGGCCGCAAAAGCAGACTCTGAAGCTTGGATCTGCTGCACATTCTTGAGTCGATCCCGCACAGCACTACTGTCGCCACCAGCGCCGGATTCACCCCAGGTCACAACGGATCCATCAACAAGGATGGCAGCAAAAGCGCTGAACGAGGCCTGGATTTGCTGCACAGTCTTTAGCTGATCTTGCACAGCACTACTATCACCACCATAGCCAGCAACACCCCAAGTCACCACAGATCCATCTCCAAGAATTGCAGCAAAGGCACTCTCGGAGGCTTGAATTTGGCGCACATGCTTCAGCTGTCCCTCGACAGAAGTACTGTCGCCACCGCAACCACCAATACCCCAGGTCACGACGGATCCGTACCTGCCAATGGCAGCAAAGGCAGAGCCCGAGGCTTGGATCTGCTGCACATGCTTCAGCCGCTCCTGCACAGAGCTACTGTCACCGCCACCGTCAGCAGAACCCCATGTTGCGACGGATCCATCGCCAAGGATGGCAGCAAAGGCTGTTCTAGAGGCTTGGATGCACTGCACATTCTTCAGCTGGTCCTGTACGGCACTACTGTCACCACCAGCGTCAGCATACCCCCAACTAACCACAGATCCATCCACCAGAATGGCAGCGAAAGCGCTCTCGGAGGCTTGGATCTGCTGAACTTTCTTCAACTGACCCTGTACAGCTCTACTGTCGCCGCCACAGATGGCACGACCCCATGTGACGACAGATCCATCGACAAGTATGGCAGCAAAAGCCGCGAGACAAGATTGGATTTGCTGCACGTTCTTCAGCTGGTCCTGCACGGCGCTACT